GGGAAAGAGATGCATATTAACAAGTGGACTCGATAAAACAAGCCTGATAAAGAAACAAAGGACTGGAAAAGAAACAACTGCTTGTTTGATTTGCAAGAATATAAAACACAGCCCACAGCAAGGGATGCAATAAGTAACTAGCAATAGAGGCCACTGTTGACGAACATATCTTTACTCAGGACAACACTTCAGGATGTCCCAAAAACACAGGCCTGAGTGCTGCCCTGGGCAGGATTATTGTTGTCAACAAAACATCTTGTTTTGTGTATTTCAGAACTGTTAAGAACTTGTCACAAGTGACAAAGGCTGGTGAACATATGACATTTTGTAAATCATTCATTTCTCTTCCCCCCGCCTTCTTTTCTGCTTGCCCTTTCCTCCCTTTAGATCTAACTTCCAGCACAAGTACAACAAAAAGCATGGAAGAGAAGAAGAAAAAGGAGAAACCAGAAGAGCAACTTACAGAACCTGAATCAGCTTTCCCAGAAGCCTTACTAGAATTTCAGTAGGTTCAATATATTTAACTTTTCACTCATATAGAATATGTGAATCGATAAAGCAGATAACAAAGAGAGCTTATCCAATCCAGTGCCTGAGCTGATTGACTGTGGCAGTTGTGTACTGTTCTTTTGTTTTCTTGGTTTGGGTTTTCAAGGTTATTTCGGAAATATACACTTCTTAAACTATACCTATAAGAAAGCATTTAAGTGGGTCAGAAATAATTTTATGCCATTAGGTTATAACCTGGGAAAAAGAGTTTTATTAAAAACAAAAAAAAACCCACATTTTTGTCTCTTAGTAGCAACCTCTTGATCAGCATACTCTGAAGTTGCAAGATTGCATTTGATTGTATTTTTTAGGATTCCTTGGTGTTCACAGAAGCATGTAGTCACTAGCCAGAACCTCAAGACCTACAGTTTGCTCCCTTGGTGCATCTGACAGCAGAGCACAAAGGAAAGTGTTTTATTTTGAAAATAACAGAGGCATAACTTCAAGGTCTCTTAAAGTCAACCAGAGAAAAATAAGAGCCAAGAGGGAAATATCTGAAGTAGTTACAAAGTAGTCTGATTTTTTTTATCTCCAATCTCTTGAGCAGATGATTAAAAGGAGAAAAATTAACCTCTGTGACTTTTTTCAGAGAGACAGAAATTAAAAGGGAAAAGCTTCAACGGCATCCAATATTCAACAATTTTCAGCATTTAGGGAGCAAGGAGTAGTGCCTTGGTGTAGAAATGAAAAGTGGGGTAAGCAAACTGAAGAGCAACCACAAATAATTTTAGTGACATCTATAGGAGTTCTCAGGGTTTATGTGGGATTTTCTGTTTCATTTTACCAAGAGCAGTGTACAAGTTTCCATAGTGAAACAGACCAGATTTAGCTGAATAGTATCACAAATAAATACCACCCAAAAAGTCAACAGACCACCCCCTCTATTTTGCTAAGAAATAAGCAAACTATTACTAGGCTGAGAAAAAAACTGCACCACTTTCTGATAAAATTGTTGTTATGCATATTCAGATCTCCAAGCAAATGACTCATTTGTCTGAAGAGTCTTCCACTGAAATGGGTGCTATACTGTCACAGGATATTTAGTTTCTGCAGCAACAGTAGGGGAAAAAGGGAAAAGGGAAAAAATACAGAAATGGTTTAAAATGGCAGGTAATTTAGGAAGTCACACTGTGTGGCCAAGCTGTCATCTCTGTCTAATAAGTGACATATTTTTCCTGTAGCCGTCATCACCATACCCCCATCTCTCTGTTTTAGTCTTTCTAACTAATATCCTTGTACTTAATGGAAAACCTGAAGAATACCTTGGAGCACACTGACTCCAGAGGATGCAAACCTAGTAACCTGAAATTTGCATGACTGAGTGACCCAAACTTAGCCAGGAAAAAATTATCTTCTTTTAACACAACTTGATGCAATAGGGAGGGGCAAAAAACCCCCAAAACAAAAACTCAGGGAACAATAGCTGTTGAAACAGTAAAAGATATTGTATAATTGTAATACTTGCCCCTATTGTGCCATATGGTAAATTAATTCTGGGAACAGAGGGAAAGTTTACAGAGAATTTTGCAAATAGACACCATTTGCAATCCAGCATTTCTCATTCTAGAAGAAAGAACACCAGAAAAAAAATACTTATTTTACAGCTGTGGCAAAGAGGATGACAAGCGTTCTATGAAAATTGTGAAAGCAGTGAGCTATTTCTTTGACAAAAATGTATAAGCATACCTAGAGGATACTACTCGGGCTGCTGTCCCTATTCTCTTAGCACTTCTTAAAGGCTAGCGAGTTCTTGGTGTACAAATGCAGTTTATGAAGCTCAGCAAACCACATCTGCAGAAGAGTTGAATCCCGTTTAATTCTTCAGTTTGGGATTCATCTGACCTATGTCCGAGTGAGTTGCCTAGGCTTCCTCTATAGAGAGTGGTGAGTAATAAATATTTCTGGAGCATAAATAATCTTGTCCCAAAAGAGACCTGTGCAATAGCTAAACCACATCCAGAAAGAATAAACCAGCTTAATCCTCTCTAGTGGTTACAAAGGAACAGTATAATCAGGGAGTCTGTTTCTTAGTAGGAGTATGAGATCCAAACTAACATGAAGTCCAGATGTATATGGGCAATCATTTCTTTATGTGTAGTAAGTACACAGTGGTATCTACACAAATGAGTCAAGCAACATGATACAGAAATAAACACTTCAGTAGTAATTACATCTAATCTAGCTTAAATAACATTCCTCTCTCTTCTGGTTTTGTAAGAACGTCTCTTTCTTTACTCTTCCTCCACAGAATTGAGACAAAAGAAGCAGCAATTGATCGGGTTTTGTTTGATCTGAAACAAGTAGAAGAAAAGAACAAAGAATGTCATGAAAGAGTAAGTGTCCATGCATCCTTCTCCCAACATATTTTATATGTGGTATTTAACTCATAGATTCAATTTTATTCTTTTAATCCTAATACTACAGTCACTAAAACTAGTCATTGCAGTGAATTTCTTACAGTCAATGAAACTAGAGTGAGTCACTTTATGTGCTAAAAGTTAAAGTGTCATCTGAATTAAATGTGACATAAAGCATAAATGTCCTAAATATAACCATGCAGAAAAGTTGCTGCGGGAGTAGAACATTGCAGAATAGGACACAGCAGTAAGGTAAAGTGAGTTCAGTGAAAGTGTTTTCCAATGCACACGAGATCCTCAGTAACCGCCTAAGTATTTAATCTTGCTCTGCAGCAAACACAGGACAGCAAGCCCCCTTTCAGTAGGTAACTTCACTGCAGTACATTCAGAATAAGGTTGTGTAACTGCTGATTGCACCTGAGTGACACTATGAAGAACCGTATATAGGAACTGTATATAAAGAACTGTATATAAAGAACCGTAATATGGCATCTGATGACTGAGAGCAGTCAGCCTGGAAAGTGGATATATATACGGTCACCTAATGAAATTAATTCAAATCACTCAAAAATCCTTAAACTGGATCATGCGATGAAACAACATTGCAGCCTGCACTTCCTATAGCAGTGAAACATTGAAACAATCAATGTCTCTCTGTCCTGCCCATGCCTGATACTTGTCCTGCTTTTGTAAGTATCCATCAGTTTAGCTTTCCTTGCTGTTCCTTTCAGTCTTGAAGCCTGGATGGTGTTTCCTTTGTGGCTTTAACTATCATTGGAAGTGGCATTTGGCTCTTCTGTCTGCAGACATCTGAAGTCTCTTATGGTTATTCCCCCAATTTGCTGCTATTTCATGGTCTGTCAAGGACTCCTTCGTATTTCAGACTGTGCAAAGTACTTCAGGGCATGCTTGAAGCACTATTGGTTTAATTTATCCATGTTTTGACAGTTCTTTGAGCTCCATTCTTTGTTTCCTGCTTAATGTTTCTGAGTGGTTTAGAGTTAATTCTTCTAGAAGTGAGGAATTCTTGAGACTCTTTCTACTGCATATTACTGTTACGGTTTGGCTGGTATGGCTATTTGCTCCTTTATGGTATCCTTTGGGAACAAACCTACACAATCAGTAATTTCAGATAATTTGAGTGTCACTTTGAGAGGGTCATGGCAAGGGGTTATAGTCACAGTTGTGGAATCAGTAGGTGTAACTAATTCCAGCTCTGACAAGACTCTCTACTGTGGTTATATGCAAGTGACCTGATTGTCTGACAACATTTCTACATGAAGGTGGTACGCTGTCATGAAGAATGTTGAAGTGAAGTAACTCCTACAAATAAATATTGTTATTAAACTCACCCACAAGGAACTTTCTTTCCAGGCAATGGAGGACTATTGCTGTGCTGCACCAAGTACAGCAGTCATTTGTCTCTCATTTCCTTGTAATGATCTTGAAGTTACTGAGAAACTTCTAAGACTTGCAGACTCTCCCTTCCACTCCATCCTCTCCAAATATGAAGAATAGGTGTTTAGCTGAGTGTTTTTGCAGTGCACTAGGTCAGATTTTACTTTTCTTCATTTAAGTTTGTCACTTTGAAAACTAATTTGAAAATGTTTTTATACATGCCTTTTCTTCTGTTGTTCTTTCATAGAATGACCTTCTGAAGGAAGAACAGCAGGCACAGATCAGACGCATACTAAGACAAATAGAAGAAGAAGAGAAACAACAAGATGAAAAGGAGGTTGTAACTAGGGATGATGTGGAAGAGTCACTGAAAGCAAAATGGCAGTATGTTAAGGACAAAGAACAACTACTGAAAGGTATGTTGTGATTTTTGGAAGTGTGATGTGCAGTTTAGACAGTTGGGATTGAATACTTTTTTTTTGCATTTTACATACAGATTCAACTTCCTTGTTGCATAAAAAGCATAAAGCTTTTCCTCCCCAAAGTTAAGCTCTCTCAACGTGGTATGAGATTGTGGAGGGCTTCTAAGTAAATCTGTTCATTCCAAATGATGTATATATATTACTGCGCAAGTACAGAGGCTTCATTTTTTCTATAAAGTTGAAACTCATGAAAGCCCTATGCACTGGTTCCACTGGAAGATTAGAAAAAAAAATTATTGATGGCAGCAAAAATGACCAGTTTTGATTGTTGAAAGTTCTGGCTGCCATCCCTGAGATTCTCAGTGGGAGACACATGTGTCTTTGGTTACAACATTTCAGTGAGAACTGTTCTCTCCCCCTGGCAGAATAAGTTCAAGCTGTTTTCAGCAATGAGGGTGGCCCTTGACACTACGTGAGGCCATCATGTTGTAATGTATTGTAGTGTAGAAGAATCACCCTTCTTTCTCCAGTCCCAATGAAAGCATCTTTATTAAAGAGTTTGATGAAGTCATAAGAATTATGAACTATCAGTTTGAGAAATTGATAATGTACTTGTCTTCTGCTGTTCTTATTTTAATAGATCTGCACTCCCAAATTGAAGAAACTGGCCAAAGACTTTCAGTAAAGCAGGGTGAGAGGGATTATTGGTTGGAGTACAAAAATGTAGGAAGTAAAATACAGGCCAACAAGATTATGAATCTGGAAAAAGACATCAAGGAAGTCAAAGATGACCTTCACAGGGCTACAGGTCAGCTTACAGCTAGTGTAATGCAAGTCTTACAAGCTCGTTCAGTATTACTTCTGGGAATTAATTAAATTATAAATTTAGTTTGATGTCAAGCTATAATAATGTATATCAGCTTCTCCAAGAGTGCATCTAAACTAGGCTGCATAATCCTATGAAATGGAAGAACTCTATCTCCATGAAAGTCCCTTTATTAAAAAGTCTTACAAAGTTGCAGAAGTTATGAATGCTTAAAGAAACTGATAACCTTGTCTTCTGATGATTTTCTTGTAAAATATAGGCAACCCATATTTTTAAAATGTTGCTGTGAAGGACAGCGGTTTTCTAAAAATAAGTCTACATGTATTTAGGTCGCCTACACACAGCTCTGCCTTAGCAGTCATACTTGAAAATGTTGACTCCGCTCTTGTTGCTTCTCATCATGCTACAAGCATGTCACGTGTTGAAAACTCCTTTGACAGGAAAGTAGTACGAGCTCATTCTTGGAACAGTCTTTTGAATTGAGTGTACTGGTTTCAATGCAGAACTAGAGGGAGCTGTTTAGCCAGTGGTCTGACCTTTGCCTCCTAATTGCGGACGGAGTCTTGTGTATGAGGGCCTGCAAAATTGCCAGTGCAGACATATACAAATACTGGGAACTGTTTTGATGCTGACACAACAGTGGAATTAATTTGAGAGCTTATGTATTCTGGTGCTGAGTGCTTTACAAAGATTTCTTTACTACTGCATTATTTTAAAATCATTGAAATATTTTGTTGTTGCATAACCCGTGCTTCTAACGGGAGAAGGATGTCCTGGTTTTCTTCCTTTATGTCCCTCTCAGTATGCATGACCATAGCCAAGCAGCTGGTAGTAACAGGCAGTGACACTGCTCTAAGGGTCTCTCTATATTCTGTGCCAACCATTACCAGGCATCAACTACTGTGGATAAGAGCCAGCTAGCTATCTTTTTGTCTCTTGAAACGTATTTTACCACGATTAAGATCTGCACTGTGTTTTCTACATTGCCAGAGAGCTTTTCAGATATCCGTCTCTGTATTCAGGAGAGGTTGATATTTTTCATTATGCATTTTCCGTGTTCTTAATCAATTTAAGATTTTGTTATACAGCTGCTGAAATATGAAATGAAAAAGAGAATGGGCTTTTATACAGAATGCCAGAATGAGCCAGTAGGAACATTCAGTCTGACCTCCTGCATGTCACAGGGTACAGAGCCAAAAATTGGTGGTCAAACGGAAGTATATTTATAGAAAAGCTGTTACAGAGGTACCTATAGCAGTTGCCTAATTAACATACTGCAAAACGATGCTGCCAGTATGATGTGAGCATAATATTTTACTCAACTTCTTAAAATCAAATTTGTGAAGTGGCTGGGGAGTACAGTCTTCTAGCCTACAAAAAAAGCCAAAAAAGCCTAACAAGCTTCCAGAGTGATGTGGCAGCAAATTGAGCTTGTTCGTTCCTCGAATGTGTAACAGGCTTAGGGAATAAACATAGCTGAAGAGGTTTCTGTCTCTGTAGTTACCACTGAAGGGCTTGACGCTGGCACAGTTCATGTGGTCTGGAGACGACATTTTAAACAAAATTGCTGAAGGGGAGAGGAAGCAAAAGAGAGCCATACGCTTACATGAGGTCTGGGGAAAACAGTGTTGCCATGAGAGAGTCAGGGAAAATAGCCTCCTTAGAAACAGTAAGTATGTCTGAACAGTTCCTCCTTTTCTTCATTCTCCCAGTACAACTCAGGTTGTTTAGCTGTCTGAAAGAATGAAAAGATGAATTAATTATAGCAAGTACTTCTATTTCATTCTGCCAAGTCTAGATGGTGGATTGATTAAGGCAGGCCAGCTTCCACAGTGTTAAATTAAGAACTAATGCACAGCTAATGCACCTTTCACATTTGGCTGCCTTTGGCTCCACAGTGGGTCCATGACCAGATACTCATTTACAGCCAGATCAGCAACAGGCTGTCTGCAACACAAGTGCAGAACTAGGCTGACTTTCAAGCCTCTGGAGCAAGTATGAAGTGCCTTCCTTCAAAGAAAACTACTACAATCTCATTCATTCCTTCAAAAGGAGAAAATACCAGGCAGCAGTGGGCTATTTAGAATAGCACAAAAACAGCTGAAGGGAAGGATGCAATAACTAAATAGCAAGTGACTAGGACTTGAAGCCAAACAAATTCAGTTAGGCGTAAGACACGCTTTCTGAATAATGACCACAAGTAACGATGAAAGCAAATCATTGAGGCAATTGCCACATTCTCCATTTTGTCCTGTTGTCAAATTAGAACCCCCTGGAAGGCTTAGATAAGTCAGAAAATTTATTACGCTCTGTATAATAACTGCCTGAAAAAAATGCCATGTGCATAAGATGATCCAATATGCTGCTATACCTAAAAAAATAAGTTTTCTAAGCAAATCTCTCACATGACTCCAGGAGCTCTGCTACTGATAGAGACAATACTTTGGCAGAGAATTGCTCAGTTTATTAGCTGTTGTAGCTGCAAACAGAAATGTGTAAGCTGCTTCAGATTTCTAGTTTTGTAGTTAACACTACTGCCCTTTGGGTTCAGGAGGACAATTTCTATGGAGAAGGATGTTTGAATCCTTTTCTGTGGAGCACCTATGCATGTGATGCTGGCTGATAAGTTCCAGTTTAGATTATCCTGTTGTCAGGAGAAATTGATGTCAGATAATGATTTCTGATTTTCTTTTTTGCTTTGAAGAATATTACAGAAATGCTTTGAAAGCAGTGAAAGAAGAAAAGGACAGACTGGTTGAGAGGCACATGAAGTTAAGTAAGGAACAGGCGCCTGAGGTATTCCTTCTCCCTTTTTTAAATGTGCTAACTGCATCATAGTTAGGATTCATGTACTCTGCATTAATAATTATTTTAACTCGAATTAAAACTTGGAACTTTTCTAATAAATTGAGAGTAAAATAAACTGTAAATCTTCTTACTAAACATGGCATTGGTTGTTGTTATACACACATGTACTTTTTTTTTTTTACATCAGACTAACAATGAGTAAATGTGAGGGCATTTTACAAATGCGGTATGGGAAACTGGGACACCATGCACTGATATGACTTGTTCAAGAACACGTCACTTTTGCTGTGACCTGGATTTTGATGTTTGCATAGCCTTCAAAATCAATAACACACTAAGAAATTGTCTGCATGGAAATATACATCAATTTGGGAAAAAAAAATGTTGTTTTGTACTTGTAAAGTACAACATTTTTAAAATGCCAAAATAGTGCAGTCTACAGTAAAATTTAGGCTTATTGACATATAGATATTTTTGTCATATCTGCCAGCTCTGGTTTGCAAACGTGATTTACAATGTATTTATGGTGACTCGTTACACACACAAAATGCAAAGCATACTTCGGTACAAGCCACTGGTTGGGCCCATTAGGTGTTTCAACTCCTTGACTTCAGTGCTGGGATTTTCAGTCATGTGAGAATATAATCCACAGGACTGTGTTTATGGTGATCTACAGGGGCATCTTCCCTTCCACTTGTTCCTTTCCTCTTACTGACATCAATAATTAAATTACAGCCTTGGCTTGTTAGCATGGACCTCTACATATTTAAGTCACTTGTCATAGATCAGTACTGCTGCATATCTGATTTTGCTTGGGTTTTTAATAGCTAAAGGTTTGATTTCCTGAAAACAGGAAGATTTGAGCAATGGTAGGAACATAGCAGAACTTGTTAGGCAAAAAGAAAATACCCTATTTTCATATGGGAGGTTATAAAATATTGGTAAATTGCTTGACATATAAACTGCACTAGGCAGGATGATGGAGAAGAAACAGCTGGCCTTGTGGACTAAATCCCCTTGTAATCCCTCGGGATGCTGCAGTCTGTTGTGTGGAGCTTTCTTAACTATTTCCTGCTAAGGTTCTTCTTTATAGTGTGCAGCACTGTCAAAGTCCTGCTTTCAGATGAGATGATCTTAAATTGTGTTTTCTCAGAATGCTGTAAGATACTTGGACAAAGACAGTCGCAGAGAAATTGAAGAGAATGAATGGCTAAAAGAAGAGGTAAAAGGATCACCTGCATACAGTTTATCATGGTAGTTCAGCTTTTAAATACCACGGCCTACAGTCACAACTGTTTCCAGTGATGGGCCTCTGAAGACCCAGGAAAAGGAGAGCAATTTTCTTGTAATTAATCTGTAATCCTGAGTTGCAAATAGTGTATGTGGTGAATAAAGGTAAAAGGTGAACATCTACTTTCACAAATGAAGGACCCCTTTTCCTGCCCAAGCAGTTATATGAAGGACTACAACGTTCCATACAATTAAGTATTTATATCTTTGGAGACTGGGATACTATATAGTGTAAAGGCTCAACCATGTAAGTATTAAAATTCTAGTGCTGCCATATTGAAAGAAAATGGATATGGATGCTGGAAACATTTTTGGAGAAAGGGCTTGAGACAGCTTTAAATGGGAGATAATAAAGAAACCCTGGAGATCACTGAAGAGGGGAAAATCAAAATCATATATAGTTGTAATTGATTACTTGATAGCTTTTATACTGTCCTTTAATGGCAATTTAGAGCTATATATTAGATAGTTGTAACTTTTCTTGTCAAGAAAAAACTGTTTTGTGAGCCAAATTTAGGAAACTGATTTTTCCCTGGTTAAAGTTTGATTGTGTTTTTTTCCAGTCAGTACAGGTTCTTTGTTGCGATCAAATCTAAGGAAGAGATTGGAGGGAGGAAATACCCGTCCCCACCTTTACAACCTCACAGTTTAGAACTGAACAAAACTTCTTGGGAAATTAATAAATTAACTTATTATTTTTCAGTGCCACATCAACAAACCTGGCAGAGTTTTCTCCCTTTTACTTACTAGTTTAAGATACTTGCTAGTATGCAGGGATGTGGCTTTCCTTCTTCCCCTTAATGAGCTCTGAGCCTACATCTTTGACTTTCCAGGGAGGGTGTCCAAACCACAGCTTCTGAGGCAATGAGGTAGGGGTAAATAAGAAAGAATTAATGTTTTAATCTGTATAAACAATCAGGAGCTCAAATCTATACATCCTGTCACTGAATGAGTAGGAATTCCCTTCCCATCTCCCTGTCTCACTGAACACTTAAGAATTTTACACACATTAGGGAGTGTCAACAAGGGCAATCCACTCAGGAGTACTCCTATGTCCTGACAGGCCCTCGCCTCGGAGTTGAGGGATTTGGGTTTCTTTCCTGTCAGCTAGAAGTTTCCTATGTTATGAATTAGTTCCCTATGTTACTAGTTTCCTATGTTATGAATTAGTGCTTTGAATTATTGTGGAAAACAAAACTATTATCACTAACTTCTCCAGTCATCTGAATTCACCCATTCATTTTCTCTGCTTTTCTTATACAGATGAAATATTTTCTTCCAGGCTAATGTTTGTATGTAGCTGACAGACTCTTCCAGTATTTTCTTTTGGGGAGATAAACCAAAAATTTCACTTTTGTCCCTGTTCAACATCATTTATCATTTTTTCAGTTTGGCCACTGAACTGAAAAATGACTTACCAAAACAGCCCTAAACTAGTTACCTCCAAGTTTGAACAGATTTGGAGACTTCAGTCACATTTTTCCATGGTTACTGTGTCACATCAAGATGGTGCAAAGCTGCATCACCTCATCGTGCCAAGCCACATCCTGTTACTGGTTAACGTCCTGTCATTTTCACGTTTTTTAATCCCTGGGAGAAATGGGAACTCGTTTTTAACTGCAAATTTGGATGATTATAGCTGGGTTAATTTGGCTTTGGTGAGAACAGATGCTAGGTACTGCTTTTAAACATGTGCATATGTCTAAGATTTCTGGGAAGGTATCCATCCCATAGTACATTCCACTTTCCAGTGAAGGGGTAAGAACTTGCTGGTACTTCAGGAAAAGTGAGAGGAATTGTGGGAACTGAATAACTGGTATCCTTTGGTTAATACAACTTCGTGGCAATACAGGGCGATTACCAGTCCAAAAGAAAGTAGCACCTGGGGTTTAGTCAATGTCGTGGCTAACTTGGACTGAAAGCTTCACTAATTCTGGGTAAGAAGGTTTTGTGTATAGGCAATTAGGTATTAGAAAAGCAACACTTGCTGAGCAAGAGCCTGAATTTAACTCTGCAAAGAAGGTTTTTCTCTCTCAAAGCTCTGATGTGAAAGCAAAAAAGAAAAATCCAGAGCTTCTGTCTACCAGACCTGTTTGGCTACATGAGAAGGTTCTGCTACCAGGGTTGCATAGCCCAAATGTGTGGCTGTGATTGACAGAGTTGTGCCACTAAAGGGTTCTCATAAAGGTGTGAAAGAACCAGAGAGGCCTTCCCTTTGCCTGAAAATGTGTCACTATGTTTCTCCACCAAATGCGCAGTCTTGCTGATACAGCTGCATTCTTTCTAGGTATGTGCTATTAAGATAGTTACTATGAAAGCTCTCCAAAATGGGCATAGTCTTTCTAAGATCATCCTTTTTTTTTTTTTTTTTTTAATTGTGAAAAGGTTAAGATGTACCAAAAGGAAGTAAGTGATTTGAAAACCTCTATTCAGCTCCTGGAAGAAGAAAATATCGGTTTAGTGACAAAACTGATTGATAGCAGGCTTCAGAATCTGAGACCACCCAGGTAAAATGATGCCTTTACAGACTCAGAAGTGATTAGTTTTTTTAAAAGATAATGCAATCTTCTGTCTCTAGAGCTATTTGGGCTCTCCCACAACAAAACCAAGGTAGTTTCCTAGTTGAGGGGAGGCAGGATTTGACTGAGTATGTGTGGGACTTGTATCTCTGAAGGATGACAGTGACATTGTAACCTCCTAAATACCAAAATTCAGGGAAGAAACTGGGTTCTTTAATAATCTATTAAGACTTAGTGACACTCACTTTCTTTTAGTGGGGATACCACTGGGGCTTGGAAATAGTTTCTTTCTGTTGTTAATTGTCTCAGACCCAGCTTCTCAACCCAAGTGCCAAATAATAGATTTTTCCTTTGCTGTTGGTAAAATGTTTAAGGATGTGAAGATTAATATGCAAATATATGGGGGTTTGCTATCTCAAGTGAAACAGACAACGTGGTACTGAGTAAGGAAGAGGCCTTGGGATAGGTCTGTCTGTAGTATTAGTTTTTTTCATATTGAAATTATTCAACTTATTAAATTAAGATTAATATAGCTGCAAAATGTCAACACTAATGGTATCAAAAGCACAATGTAACAATGGGAATGATCCATCTTTATTTTCCAGTCCCAGCTCAGTGATTTTAGCCATATTGCACAACAAAGTTCCAAGTCTTAAGAAGTGACCATTTTTCTCTCTTCTCCAAACTTTGGACTGCTTTTAAGTGAGAGCTGCCAGCTGTGGTTTGAATCTTGGACTGACTGGAGACTGTAACATTTGTTTTCTTTTAGTCTCATGGACATAGTTGAACTTAGGCACTAAGAATAAAAAAGAGCAGCGTATTAGCCACTAAGCTACCTGGCTGCCTCCATCGCATTTTTAAAACATTGCGCTATTCTGCATTTGTGGTTAAGCAGCAAACGGCTTTCAAAAAGGGTGCCCTCCCCGCCCCCCCCCCCCAAAAGGTTGCACAGGACAATTTAGAGAGAAAATTCAGACCTCTAATATGAGTTTCACTGTATTTTTTTAATTTCATAGGCATCTGTTTCTTACCCAGGCAGCTGGCTTGCAAGATGAATTTCCTAAGGATGAAATGAAAGAAGTAGAGTATAGAGAGTATGCAGGTAATGCACATGCCAGCAGCTTATAAGAACTGATAAGTCACTGAACATTTAAATACTGTTTAAATCTTGAATTTTTTATCAAACTGCCTGTTTTACACGGTGAACACTTAATTTCCCACTTAATTGCAGCCACCACAGCAATGATAGACTGTAGTTTGTGTTAAGAAGACAAAACCACCTAAAATACAGTTTTAAAATTGAAATTGGTGTTTAGAATCTTGGATGTAATTACTCATATAGAGCTAGCCTGGAATGTGGTTAATAGGATCAGCCATCTTTTATGAAGATATGATTCATATCTTAATCAGTTATTTACTGGTCCATATCAACATAATTTCATTATTATCTTGTCCCTGAGAGGACACTCTGGAACTCTACACTGGCTTTCACGTGAAGTGTACACGCACTTTACAGTCATTCAGCTCACACAGATACACCGGAGTTAATTCTAAATGAATCCCTAGCAAGAGCAGATGAAGCTGCATGGAGCTCAGCCTGAATTGAAAATCTTGGTAAGCAGTACTGACTCTCCATCTGTTCTGGTAGGCATGCCCAGAAAAAGGATATGCCATGGGGCAAGAAGGACCATGTGAGTCTGCTTATCTGTTTAGGGTGGTTTCTACAAATTCCCTTAGTATCGGATGTTTTATTGTACATCTTTGTGTGAGTAGAAGAAAGAGGAGGGGAAAAAAGGACAAAATTAAATCAAAGAGGTAAGTAGCAAAAATTGAAGCCATACAGTTACGAATACATGAACAAGTTCTGATCACTTCCAGCCATAGGTGGGCCTTTCTGGAACCATCAGGCACCAGCAAACACATTGACTAGGACTTCTGAATTAGATCTTTATTTTGAACAGTTCAGCTCCATTACCTTTGCTAGACCTTTACAATACTTACTGGGAGGAGTAGGTTTGGTTCCAATAAGCTGGGGTCAAGTCACTGTCCCGGGCAAACATATAACTTGGTAGTCCACATTGAGAATTGTCTGTCGTCCTGAGAATCGGTCAAATCCAAATGTGAGCTCTTCAGGGGAGTTCTAAGTAGACGAGCTGTCTTTCAGGATCTTGTATATTTGTACATATAGAGATACACACATGGATGTACAAGACGTTTATACTTGTTTTTGCTGCCTTTCCTATTTTTTTTAACTATTCAGGGTTATATATGATTTAAATTGAACTGATAAAAGCTCATTTTTTTCCCCTGCCCCATCCCGCAGACCCATTACTTCTAACTTCCAATCAATTTCTGTCCCTGATCTTGATCAGAAATTGTGAACAGAAATAAACATAGAAAAATCAGTGAGCAAAATCAACATTTGGCTTGGTTTGCCAATTAAAAATCCTACCAAGCTGTTCTTTACATCGCACTGGCCAAGCCACATTTAAGATTGCAGGCAATGCTCATACCAAGTACTAAACCTGATCTTCATAAAGCTTAACAATTACGTACACATCATTGTTCTTCTCTTTAAAAAGCAAAGACAGATGGAGATGAAAGCCTCAGAAGTGCCACAGTCTCCTGTCAGAAAAAAAAGGCCTTTGCAAAGATTCAGTCTAAAACAGAGAATGAGAAGCCTCAAGAATGTGATGAGGAACTGTGGGAAAAGTCCTTCACTCCAACTCTTGATAGCTTGTTGTATGAAGATGAACATGATTTCCAGGTATGAATTAAAGTAATCGGGTCTTTCACTGACACAAACATATTTCAGTAGGGAGCATGAGCTACTGCCAAGAGCATTCTATTCCCAGTGGTGTTACGGCAGAAAAAACTCCAATGTCTTTTACCTAGTGTACAATTCAGGTGCTTAATCACAGGCATCCGGTGCTATTTGAGATGGTTAGGACACTCCCAGTCCTTCAGATGCTGGGCCAAAAAGACCATAGGTTCTGTGTCATACAAGCCAGCCTTACGTGGATGTTTTGGATGCCTTAGGACATTTCTGATAGCACAAGACACATTGTTTTGGCAATTGAATTGTGTTCTAGGAATTGCATATGTGAGTGTTGGGATGAAATCCCCCCTACAAAGAATTCTGAATGTCACCAAGTGACTGTTTTCTATGGTATTGCACAGATTCTTGTTTGCTTGGATGCTGGTCCTTTCAGAACTTATGTTGCATAGTAGCATTAAAGGATCAACAAGTCATTTAATCCTTCAACGGAAAGCTAGGATGAAGGTGTTCCTGGGTGAAAAATACAGCGGTTGAGAAAATAAAAAGGTACAGGTTATATGTAAATAGACAGAGTTTGTGTGGTTCTCAAAAGAGGTGGTAGCACCTGCTCCAGGAGGTTTTTGACCCTAGGTTGCAAAAAGATGTTTCCTGGGTGCCATTTGATACTACACTCTTGAGTTATAAGGACTTGAATACATTTGTAAATGAACTAATTGCTCTCAGAAAATACATTACATCGTTGATTTCTACTGCAAATTAAAGACATGGTGCAGACGGCAGGGCTGGCTGTGTAAAGATACATCTCCATAATGATTCTTTACTATTGAATATTCTATTCAAACACACTCAGTAATGATTTAAAAAAAAAATACCAACAACTCTTTTTCTAGAAATTTGGCATTAGTTTGATTAGTACCCTGCAACTTGTGTTCAGAGGAATCATCCTGTTGCCTTGATCAGAGACTAACTTAGGGAGTGGCTATGTCCTGAAGAGTCATTACATAGAAAAGCTGAACATTTAGCAAAAAGAAAAAAAATCATCCAGGTGTTTGTTTCCTTGCAGTTGTTGCCTTGGGAGAGGAATACTAGCTTTACTTTCTGCCTGCTGTTAGCACTGCAGAGCCACCCCACTGAGGGACATAGGTGCTGCTGACATTCTTGTACTTTGTAACAATGCAGGCATAATTGCAGACAGTGGAGTTGCATGGGCAATTTATCAAACAGAGGTGATCCAAGAGCTTGCACTGTAGGCTTCCTTCTTCCCTCCCCCTGGCCTTGGCTGTATGGTCCCACTCCCACCCTTAGGGAACCCATAGTGCACATCAGCCTTTGCTGTAGCTGATTCACTCGCTAACCCGGCAGAAAAGCTTGCCTTTTCTTCTCCTCCTGAATTAGTTTTCTGTTGGGTTAGTCAACCAAATTGACTCAGAAGTTTGGAGAAGAGCGGAGCCAGCACAGACATGATGGAAGCACATGGCTGGACTTGGACCTCTCTCTGTTGGCAGTAGTGAGCTGTTGGATTAGTTTAATTCCTCTCACAGAACTGAGCTTGGGAGCAGAATTTGGTTTGCAGGGAAAGTGGTGTTGGTGAAAACACACAGGAAAAGAAGAGGGCAGCAGGGCTGCAGCCTCCTAAGAAGAGCTGGCTTGTAAGCCAAGCCCATTAACGCTGGCATTACCAACTGTAGCAAGCCCAGGGCAGCATCTTTACAGTTGCTTTTAAAAGGAAAGTTGCTGGGGTTTTTTTGAAGAACAGCTGCTTTTCTGTGTAATTGCAGAAGAATATTATTCTTTCTTCTTAAGGAATACTTAAAACTGGGTCCTCTGGAGACAAACCTACTGTGTGTGGTTGGAAGAGCCATGCCTATTCATAAAGAACCAGAAGAAATGCCAGGCAGGAGCCACGCAGAAGATGGCATTATTGGTAAATCAGACAGGCACATCACAGCTCAGATGATCAAGGCCTTATCTAAAGTAAAGGTTGGTTAAAAATAGACAAGCTGCACTGTTAATATAAAAAAGTAGCATTCTCAGTTCATTAAATATTTGCTCTGTTCTTCAAGGAGTGTGTGGCACTGGGCTTTGTGGAAACTATTTTGGAGTGCCCGAATCATGATTTACACATATAAGTTTAATGAGAGGTATGTCTGTGTGCAGATGGCTAATTGAAGGGTTGCCTTCCTTACCACTGTGAGAACTCTTGTGCACTTCTTGGGCTTCTCAATCCAAGTAGCTGCACATATATCTAATAAAGGAGCCGAGTTAATATTTAGTTTTTGCGGCCGTCACTTGCAGTCTGTCAAATGTGGAATTCCCTCTTGGTCAGACACGGAATGGGTGAATGCAGGCTGCCATAAAATCTAGACCTGTTACAAAATACTGAATACCCTGCTAACGCAGAATCTAATTTATCCAAGCATAATTCAACTATTGCTGGAAATTGAATGTTTGAATGCATTTTATCTGTCTCCATAAAACCCCTGCTTAAATATATTGAAATAACCAAAAATTAATTGAAAAAAAAATAAAAAAACCCCAGAACATAAAAATCATCAAAGTCTTTATTTTTTGTTTGTTTGTTTAGAATTGGCCAAATATGTGGTGTAACCCTGTCTCTTTGGTTTGTGGCTAGGCTCTGTGGACATATATCTTAGTGCATTGACTCGGTGGGGTTTTTTCCCCAGTCTCATTGCACATCCTGGACACCCTATCAGGCGTATGCAAGGCAGTTACTTGTGTACAGGCACAAGTAGGCTTCTGACCTAAGCATTTCCTATTTAGAAACTTGTGAAAGCATTGAATAATCTGATTTAAACCCCTGATGGCTTAATCAGCAGTTTGGAATAAAGCTTTCTGAAAAACTTAAACATTTTAAACAATCCGTGTCTACGCAGCATCTCATCTTATCCTGTACTTCAGTGCAAACATTTTTCATTTTTCAAGCGAGCCCAGACACTCCTGCCCAGGAGGTGTCTCCTTGAGTTGCAGGTGAGTTGAACTGTTCTCCGGGCTCCACTGACTACAGCTCCTCAGAATCTGGGCTCACAAGCAGACACGTAAAGGTAGGAGCCTTAATCGCAGACTGAATCTGACTTGTGTGCCACGTAGCAAACAGTTACATGAGTTTGGATGTGTCCCTGCTGTAACCCAACGGAGTTACCTCAAGGACTGAGGTGACTCCTAGTGCTCGAGTGTTGAAAGAATGGGGATCGTGCTTGCGAGGCGGCAATGTTTTCAGCGCCACAGAAGCCTCCCCTTGGCTACACTGGCTTTCTTTGAGTGAAGTGCAAGCCCCATGAAATGGCTTACTTCAAAGAGAGATTAGTTCTGCTCAGTGATAAGTTTAGCTTTTCGTTTAGTCACAGAATTAGAATATGGCTTATTCTGAACAGCTTTTCAGTTAAAGAAGGGCCTCTCCTTCTTCCCACCGCTCCCCAAAGGGCATTTACATTTCCTAGCAATGTAAATGTAGGGCCCGTCCTTGGCTTCTTTTTGCTTGCGCCCATAATGCCTACCACCATGTGTAGGACTGTGGCAGGACAACATAAACTTGTACCTTGGAAAAAAGAAACTTCACCTCTGGAAGTCACTGTTTAGCCTTTTATCATAAATGCCCATGTGGGTGAGAGGGAGTTAAAAAGAAACCTAACATGCTAATGAGGGTGCAAGCCACAGGCAGCCTGCACAAGCCAGAAGCAACAGCCTGTAGCAAAACCCATTTAGTGAAGTGTCCCAAATCCCCTCAATTTCTATAGGATTAGCGTTAAGGCCAGTGTGAGGCTTTTATATGGAGAAAGCTAGGTCTTCAGCAAATGAGGCATCTGGATTTGATAATTCTGTTACTGGCAAAATCTCTCAGAAATGAGCAACATGTTGTAAACCAGAGGGCTGATCAAGCCGCTTTCTGGCAGCACAGCCAGTGCTTCCAACTCCTACTTAAACAATGGGCGTCCGAGCTCGCTACTCCAGTTAGGAGAAAACTTACAGGAGTTACATTTAAATTCCCAGCATTATGAAATACCTTTTCTTTGCTGCGTTTCTGTTGCACAAGACAACTATAGGACACTAGTTAGGCTACAAGATTCAGAAAAGTGTCTGTGTGTCCCCACAACTATAATCCAAGCAAAGCCTTGGTTGAGCTGGAGTTCTGGCACACAACTGGCACACAACTCTAAGAAACTTGCAGTTTCAACAGGAAAAAAACCTCACAAGTGTTCACTGGAAATTCAACGTTAAAGAAATATGAGCAGCACTCAAGTAAGTGTGTGGTAATAAAAGCCATTTTAATAGAACTGAAGTCCATGTGCTGGAACTGAGAAACACCACTCCATCAAATGCCCAAAAAGCACGATGGAGTGGGGTGGGGCGTACGGCTAGCCCATACCCACTCGAGTGATTAAAGGAGCTGCTTACCTCAGCACACTGCTGGTTTGAACCCTCTCTGAGCAATTCCCCTGTAGCGTCAAGCAAATGGATGATACTGCTTTCTAGTCTGGCTGTGCAAGTATGATCTCTCCCCAGCCTGAGCTGCGGGGAACGTAGCTTACCTAACTTTTGGTCTGGTTTTTGAGAGGTTTGCAGCCTCCGATGTAGCCAGGTTATGTAAGGCGGCAGTCTTTCCACAGGTTCAGACCTGCATGTTTGGGGAAATGCGGGTAGGAGACTTGTTCTGCAGCATGTGTTCTTGTTTGGCTGCTTTCTGAGAGAGAAATTATTAAAACGCTCTGCTTCTGTGGGCTAAAAGGGGTTTGCCAGAATAAGGTCAAGGCAGAAGCTAACGGACTGAGAAGTTACACTGTAGTGACAAGCAAGGAACAGAGAATCTAATGGTATTAGCATCTTAAGCTGCTGATGTTTTGCAGCTGGATGTTCCTCTGAAAAAGACTTTCCCTTGGATTTTGAGTCTGCTGTAGAAGTAAGGATGTTTCTCTGTAATGCTACACTCCAGAGCTCATGTTCTGCAGACTACCATAGACACCGTGTTGGTTTAGGACACGACATGGTAACAACACGCCAACAACTGTTCCCGTATGTGACCCACAGAACACCTCCGCTGAGCCATGGAAAACTGGGATTTGACATGGCGCTGGATCTTTTCCCCACTTTTAAAGTGCAGCAAGAGGCTAAAATCGTATCAGATAACGCTTTTCTAGAAAAACAATACTTGGGAGATTGCTGTAGCTGGCCTGGGGAAGTCCAGCAGTTACCACTGTGAATAAAGCAGAGATCCGTGCTATGAAAATAAACCTGAGACCTCAGCTCTCCTCGTACACCGCAGCTGCCGGATATCCAGAGCAATATGCTTCCATCCAACACATTTTCAGCACCATTATCGGCTCACACAACAGAACTTTGAAGGAAGTTGGCTGTTTGTTCCAAGGCTTTTTGATCTTTGCCTAAGGAAATTTCATCAGCAGAGAAGCAAGAAAAGAAGAAAGAAATGTGTTTTACTCAAATCATAGAGTGATTTGTTATCTTGGGCAAGTCATCTCCCACAAGTGAAATGGAGATAGTATTTACTCAGCCTTGAGATACACAAAAGGGTGCCAAGTGGGTGGCAGCAGCGCTACACCTTCAGGGGAACCCGCTCAGGGTTCGCTCCTCCTCGCCGATCCTCCTGATCCGGCCAGGATGTAGCGTACTCATCAGCCGCGTCCCTTCAATCTCCAGTTTGAACATGGGAAACATCAGTAACTCACAGATGTTTCTGGCTGGGCAAATTCAGCGAAAGATATCAAGCCTGTTCCTGCTCTCTGCTGCAGTGCGAGCGAGCTGCAAAGGTCAAGTCAAAAGATTGCTGACAGGCCAAGGAGAAAGCCCTTATTCAGTTTGCACATGCTCCCACCGACATTGATTTTTCTTCTGTATTCAGCACATTTCTTCACAACCCCTCACATTATCTTATCAATCTTCTGCTCCCATCGGCATTTCCTCTCTTTCCCAGTGTTTTTGGTACCTAATTCTCATTTTTTCTGCCACAATCTGTATCTCAAGTATGTCACGGCCTTCAAGTTGCAATTCATTTATGTCGCTTCAAAATTTATACCAGGCTCTGAAAACAGGCACTTTGTGTCTAATAAGACGCAGGGTTTCACCCCATCCCTTCCTCAGCTGGGAGAGTCTGTGACTCATTCCAGTAGCTGGCTGAATGGACCACCTGATGTCACGTAAAACCAGTTTTTGAACATTCCCTGAGGTACCAGCAGTGTCAATTTATTGCATATACCAGTTCAGTTTGTGACTTTGAAACAGAGAACAGAAGCAGCAAAAGAATTTAGATTTGTCTTCAGATGAAGATTCTGCATTTAGGCTTTTAGAAAACACATGAAGTTACTAGCTGTTCAGGTTCTTGTTCTTGCAGGAGTAACTGTCTCAAGAGGTAAATCCAGTTGTTTTAATCATATAATTCTCTGGTTAAAAAAAAAAAATTAAAAATCTTGTGATGATTCTGACACCTAGTTTCCTTCACAAAGCTCTAAAAGGAACCGCAGCCCTCTAACATAGCACTATCTCCTCCACTGCTTGCTAGGAGCAGGCAGCTTTCCTAGACAGAGTTTGGTCTCCTAGATTAAACACCCTTTGAACTTAATTTTGAGGAGAACCAGGTTTTCACAACCCCCCACTATTGAAACTGGCCAGTAACTCAAAAGAAACGCATCTATGAGCTATGCTTTTTAAATTAAGCTGCAGTTGAGTGTTATTCCAGCAATACTGAAAGCAAACATACTAGGAAAAAAATAAATGGGAAAATAATCCTCAGGAAAATTCTCAGGCCAGTTTAAAGAGTAAAGCAAAAGCAAGGTTTATTAGCAAGGCCTCCAACAAGAAAGCTTAACATGGCTGCTGCCCGGGTTAAAGAACGCAGAGCAACCGTGAGTGAGCAGCAGGGGGTAACAGATGAAGAACTCATCATCCCTGCAGAAGAGGTGGTTTTATTCGTTTGAGGATTTTTGGCACCTGCATGATTTGCAACCTCAGGTCCACAGCCCCACAAAGGGGGTCCAAAGGATCGAAAAGATCTAAGAACTAAGCAAGCAGATTCATCCTCAGTCAACAGCCTCAAAACAGAGATTGAAACCACTGTGCAGAGAGCACCGCAGACCGCAACGGATGACAAGGTTGGTGCCTGTTTTCACCATAACCCAGCACGCTGGGCTATGGAGGAGGAGGAGGAGGAGGAGGAGGAGGAAGGCCCACCTTAATCTTGCACCCAAGCTATGGGTGGTGTTTCAGAACAATCTGTACCCTGGTAGTTACCCATTTAGCCCACAGGACACAAACGTGCACCTTTTTTCCAGCTGACCCCTGCTTCAGATAATTCACATTTTTGATATTCTGAGTGCAAGCAAAAACGAAAAAGAAGTTGTTCTCTGGTGGTACAGGCCCACACTGAAAGCCTCATTTGTAGGAAGGTAAAGATTTAAGTAAACCATATATGAAACTCCCCAGATGCAGGCATCTGCATTATATACTCTAAAAGTAACAGGGTCAGTTTTTTTTTTTTTAATTCATCCTTTTAGAAACACATTTTAAATCTACTGCTCTGTACTGATCATTTTATGATGTACATCCTTCAGGACAAGCCTCAGGTAGTTAAGAAGAGGGAAATTCCATTTATAGCACAACTCCCTGTGATGAAACCCAGCGTCCAGTGCCATCAGGCGATGGTCTGAGCAAGCTGTTCAAAGCCTCCCCACCATTAACTGCTGCTGGAAGATTAAGGAAGATACCTATATAATTATTTCGGTATATTTGTACTTCTCCCTCAGTTATAACCAGTACAAGTTTATCGCCATGGATATTTTGAAAAAGACTAGAAGATTGTGAAATATTAAGTGAGGAATCCAGCTCTTAATGAGACAACTCGTTATAGTGGAACTAAGGCCGCCTACTGCAGCACCACCGGGCAGATGTTGTACAGATCACGTCACTCACGGATTCACAGTGCTGTGCTTCCTGCAATACAATATGCACATATGAAATACATTTGGTATTTTATTAAGTAAACAAAGCAATTACCAGTGCACATTTTAAGCAGCAAAAAGAAAAGAAGCACCTCAGACTTTCATACCGTAACAAAAGTTCTGTGGAAGCTGCATTTTATTTGAAAATCCACCCATTTTTGCTAACGTACATTTTAATATTTTAAACAAAAATAGAATCTGCAGAGACAATGCAGCAAGTATGCTTAATTCATGTACAGAATTGCTTTCATATCATTGACTATCCTTCTGAAGGCCCCACTCCACCCAAAAGTTATGATGTATTTACACAAAGCACCGATCAACAGTGCTACTTTAATTCTTTAACTAAATACCCACTAGACGTTATGTAAGGAAGCTGCTTCCCCTTTTTTACTTTTAAAAGGTACATGATCATAAACATGGCACTAGCCAAATGAAAAGGCTTTCCCCCCCAACACACAACACCTCAGTTGGTTTTTTTTTTTTGGTTTTTTTTTGGTTTGTTTTTTTTTTTTTTTTTTACAGAAAAGAAGGAAAGTCTTAAAGTGAAAGCAATTCCTCACATTCATTTTGGAAAGGCCTTATAATGTCAAATGTAAAAATAATGACATGCCAAGCACAAAGCAATAAAGTTCCTTCCCAATGCACTAATGCTGAATTAAAAATGTAGTGCTTCTGCTAGTCAGTTAACTGTTCCCTTGCAAAATCCTAGGCACAGAATTGACTATAGGGATTAATGCATTTTACAGCTCTTCCCTAATTCCCATATATACTGAGAATTCATTAGATTCAGACCTTTGAAATATTTAGTGCTCTGTATGTCAGCTGAAAAGCATTCTGAATCAGATTCATTCTTTGTGGATAAAAATCAGACATACTGTATACATCCATACTCATTTTCATAAGGAGGTTTTCTGATACAATATTAATGTTAAATTGATAATCATAAATAAATACAAACAATAATACATAAGGAATGTCTACTGCAAACTGAATATATAATTTTTTAAAAAAAGTTAATTTCCATTACTGCTGTGCCTACATTTGTGAGGACTGAAGAAAAAGTAACTGCAGAATTAAGAGTTAGGATTTGACCCCCCCCGGCCCAGAGTCTTGTTTCGAGTTACGGTAAAGGACACATCTCCATTCCAGACAGCATTTCCAAACACCCATCTCAAATTTCCAGAATAAAGGCTTCTCTTCATTTGTTACCGATTATGGATATTATTAGAAGCTGACAGTATTGACAGGTTAGTCACCAGGACAAAAAAAAAAATCTCAGTCTTAATTCATGGCAATTCTTGGCTTTGTATTGTATATTGATGTTTTCTTATGAGTTGTCCAAGGTTCCTTCACTGGCCTTCATTATTTCACTGCATCATTGAATGGAAGAGAAGAGTTTGAGAGACTGAAGTTCATTTTTTTTTCCTGGAAGTGGGGGTTTACTGGTGAGCACATCTTTTTGGAAATGTTCCTTTCTCTTCCATCAAACACAGTTACATAAACTGAATCTGGAAAGATCAAAAACCCTCGTGTTAACATCCAATGGAAGTAGGACTTCACTATAAACCTGTGTTTTCTTCAAAAATTTCCATTCTTCAAATACCCAAGCTACCCCAAGATCTGAAGTTTCAAACTGAAATAAAAATTTTAGAAAATCAGGGCCAGAAAACAACCAAAAGCCATCAGGATGTTTTTCTGACTACATCAGCCTCTGGACCGTCTCTTTGCATTAAGCTGGTTTGTCCAACAATGAAAACCCTACTTATCCATACACTACTGTCACCAGCGGCAGCGTAACACAGGTCAACATCATTCTGAAGAGAACTCAAGGTCACTTTTCAGGCTGAACCGGAGGAAGTGCAAAAAGAAAAGCAGACGCTGTGTGCAATAAAGCCTACTCTTTCTTTACACTCTGTATTCTTGAATTTGTTCACATTTTCACTCATTTTAGTATTTAATTCCCACCTGCCCCTGACCGATAGAGAGCAGAACTCCAGTGCACGTCTGTACCAAAATTTAACCCTCACACACGTGAAACCAAGTGTCTCCTTCTGCACAAAGTGAACTTTTTGGTCAAGCAATCCAGTGAAGTGCACGAGCAGACCGCCAGCAGCAGTCAGGTGTTTGCTGCCAACCAGGAACCCCACACGTTTTCCTGATGAAACGGCAGTTACCAGGTAGTACCAGCTCCTTCTCCCCAGCTGCAGCAAAGTACCTTGTGTGCTGGCTCCTGCAGTTCAGAAAGGAACTATCGAACTTTATTTCCAATAGACTGAAGCAAAATGACTTGATTGGGCCTTTAAACCACTGCAGTTAAGTATACCGAGTTTCCAAGTCACTTCCACAATGCTTCCAACTCAACATGACTTGTTTTATTTTCTTCAGAAACAGTGCTAGTCATGTCAATAAAACTTGAATTAGAACTTTTTGTTTTATATCACAAAAAACCAGCATCTCCCCAGAATAATGGACAATACCTAAGTTGTTCTACAAGAAATCCTGGAGAGAGAGCTCTGCAAAGGGATCCTTTCCTGAGGCTCTGTGAGGACTCTGACTGGAAGGGCTGGATGCTGCAGACAGCTAGTAGGAAAGACGACAGAGAGAGGGAAAGAAAAAGAAAAAAAAGGTCTCAGAATGACAGAATATGAAAGCTGAACATGTAATGAAAGGACAAGGGGAGGTTAAGAGGCAAACTTGGCAGAAATCAACTATTAAAACAAGGTGTTTGGTCATATGGAAAACAGAAAGCCTCTTCAATGGTTGGTGTAATGCAGAAACAAGCTGGACATGACCCTCCAGAAAGGAAACTTCAATTGGCATTTGCCAAATAAGCAGATAATCTCACACTTTCACAGTGGTTTTCTTCAAAAGAAGATACAAAACATCAAGCCTGACTGTCCTGCGAAACAGGTCAGCACTCTCCCCGCGTTACTGGCAAAGCTACGTACGAGGGGAGGCTGGGGGTCTGGCCAGAGCATGGCAGCTCCAGAGGATACAGCTCTCAGCATCATCTCCTCTCAAAATAGGATGTGGATAAAAAGAAGCGGGAGAGCAGACAACAGATAATTGTCAGTTTGGGGCCTAGAAGGAGAACACAGGATATATTCTGGGGGTAGGGGAAAAAAAAAAAATAGATGAGAGTTTGTCAACTGCTGCCGTTTTAGGTGAGAACTGAAGACTGAGACGATAGTCTATACTATCTATACTAACAAAAATTACATCCTGTAGCCATGTATTTAAAGCACCACACTACAAATTCAGCCATATAAAGCACATAATTTACAAGTAGGTAATACTGGCCCTCCAGCTGCTGCTGCTGGAAGGGACCAATAGGCTGTAACTGCAGGAGTATCTGCTATTTGTTGATTTTTTTATTCCTTTTCCTTCTTTGTTAATGCTTTCCCAGTTATAAATGGTGCTTTATTAAATGCTATTTGCCCTCCTCCCTCACAGAGCTTGCATGTTTTTGTAGTTACAAATAAACCAGTCAGCTTTCTCCATTTCAGATTCCATCAATTTAACAGTTTACTCATAATTGAGTCACTAATCACCAGTGCATACTTGCACTTCATACCCACTGCAAAAAACCGTCATATGAAGACGTATTTCCTTTGGAAATACTGAATGCCTGCCAACCTACGCATGACAGGGAACATGCTTATGGGAACTGCTTGCAGAAGTGCCCAGAGTGTAAATATTGCCATTGCAAATTTAAATTTTTCAAGTTAATGTCTGTCTCGGAAACCACGTGGGGAGAACGAGGTCTTCAGGATCAGTACTCTCTGTCTGGGTTGGCATCTTTACTTCCCTCCCAAAACCCCACTCCTGATGGGGCACTCTGATCCAGTCCCCATAAACAGATTATGGAAGAGTCATGAGACAGAATGGGAAGCGCTTGAGAAGCGGTTTCAGGATGTCAGAAGCTCCCCTTTTAAACTTGGTTCTTCCCTTTGGAAAGCCGTAGCTCACACACCCCACCGCTCTCCAGGATTTGAGCCAGACTGATAAACGATAAAAGTCCAACAGAGTCCTAACTTCAGCAAGGCATGCCTGCTGCGACTTGATTTCATGAGACATTCTTCCTCTTCACGGTCAAATGGCTTGAACGCACATATTAGAAGTCCTGTTAAATTGAGCTGGCAAATCTCCAATTGATATCGAGTCCAAGATAACATCCTGGTTTGAAAGCAGTGTGGAAGACTGGTAGAGCTCTGTCATTTGTGCAACGTCAGCATGTAACCAGGAACAGAGGTGAAATTTCAGGAAGCCCGTTCAGGTTAAATACTGGGAAAGAACTTGACAATGCTACTTCCTAGATGCCACAGCCAAATGCAGACAAGAGACAGTATCTTACAGTAAATACATATTTTAACAAGATTCCTCTGATTATTAAAAAGGAGGCCTAAAAAAACAAAAGTGTGGCAAGTATAGTTAGACAGTTTCCTACATTGCATCTATCCAGAATACTGCTTATAAATGTATCTGAAAACCAGACCCTACCGTAGCAGTTTCTAAGGAGAAGCATGTAAAACAACAGCACTGGCCACCAGTTTCTCCAGCGCTAATACTAGAACTGCGGATTCAGTCTCCTTACTGCCCAGCGCTCGTGTGACCTGAAATGTGAGGTGCTGTGCTGGATCAGAGCCAAAGCTCAGGCTCACCCCCACCAGCAGTCGTCACTTCTCGCTATTCCCAACAAAGATGCCAACTCCCTGGAGTCACAGTAACACAGAAGAACCCGTCCATGGGCAAGTGTTGTGCTGATTCCCATCATTAGCTAGATACAGGTTTCTCATTAAACAAGTCTGTCAAGCTGGTTTAGCATGTATTTTTAGGATTAACATGCCAAAAGGAACACCTGTAAAGTCTACTTTCTGGCACAAGTCTGTCCTGAACTATATAGCCTGTTCTTCCAGTTTGAAAAAAAAAAAAAAACAAACAAAAACCAAAAACCCAAAAAACCAACACAAAAGCACCCCCCTGACCACCTTCCTCATTTGCACAGTTACCTATTCATCATTGTCACCAGGCGATCGCTCCTACCACTTCTTCTGCACAATCCAGTGACATTAACAACTGCGGTGTTACAATTCACACAGATGCTGGCAGTAGGCAGTGAAATTACTTTATTCTATCTTCAATCTTAAAATTTTCACTACCCAGCTGCTTCCCTTCCTAAGGCCATGTCCTTTTGGGGGTAATCAGACCAGAATACATCCCACTTAAAGGCAGACCACTGATTTGTCAGTATTGCACCATTTTATATTAACCAACGCGGTAACGTTTCTGGTGGTGGTGAACATCCAAGCCCTGCTGTCGTGCATTACAACACCCGGGCCTCACAATGGGTACTGACATTCCAGTTATCTGCACATCATTCAGCTCTGGCTTATTTCTGTTTGAAATAGTCTGCGTTTGCTGTGCCGTATCACATCTGCCATCACTCTGGCTACTCTTTAACCTTCTTTGGACCACTGATTCAGCCCGTCCCTTCCTCATACACACACTCTTCCCCCCCGCCAGCTAAAATTCAATCACACAACTCCAACCATTCTCACTGTTCTGGGCAGCATGATATAACATTTTGCAGTGAGAAAAGCTTGCTGTTTTATCATGATGAAAACTATTATTTTCTTTCTCAAGCGGGAAACACTGACCCTAATGCAAGATAAGTGATTTCAAAGACAAAAGGTACACACCAGTTTCTTTTAAAACTATGAATATCGTCTGCACCTAGATTTTCAAAGCAGCAACTCTTTTAGTCTCATTCTCAATTGTTTCAAATTATTTTGGCCTTAGAAGCACCAAACTATCCTTGCTTTTGACAGCAACAATTAGAAATAAAGTTGCATGCATGTAAACAAGAACACCTGAGACACAAAATCGGTATGTCTAGAGGTAAGAAAAGTATATTTATGCAAACAAATCCTTAAGAGTATCAAGGTAGGAAGACCAGTTTAAGTTATAAAGAAACTGGTCAACGTTGGGACGCCTATTTTACCACTCTGTATACAAAGTAGGAGTTCCCAACACACTACAGCTTGGCAATACAACTTTTTGGCAACAACTTCATATCTGTCATTATGCTTTTAAGTACCGTCAAGTTTCTTCACTGTAGACAGCAACCAAGATCTATCAACAGACTAGCGGTAAGTGATAAAATCTGGTGCTTTAAACATAAATATTAAAAGCAATTTACTTTCTGGCAGTGATGATACCATGGACAAAACTTGTATTAGAATAATGGTGTTCAGAGTGATCCATGTGGCATGTAGGCAGTTTGAATTGTGAGCCTTTCAGACAACCATTATTCATTCTTTAAGATTTTGTTTACTTACCCCAAGAACACACTTTTTTTTTTTATTTCTTTATTTTCCTATTTCTATTTCTGGCACAACAGGAACATGAACTAAACCTAAACAGACAAATACACTCTCAGAAGAACCTCAGGACTAAGCATACAGTAGATTTAGTGTAATAATATTGTAATTCCCCTACGCGGCTATACATTAGCAAACACCATCCCCACTGGGGTATGGGGAAGAAGCTCTCGCATGCAGCCCTTGTTTCATTTCGGTTGCTTTACTGCTGTCAGACTTCCGAGAACTCAACACCTGCCAGCAACGCAGACTGTGTGTCTTGGGGAAAACCCTTCCTGGCCACACAGCAAATGCCGATTCAAAGGGTGTGTTTTCTATCAAACTGATTCTCACAGGAGCCAAACGCTGTGAGATAAGCACAATAAACACAGCTCTACACACCTCACTTGTGACTAATTCCTCTTTCTCCTCTCATGACAGCCAGCTGGGATTCAACCTAGACCAAGCCCTGCAACGTCAAATGAAGCAGAAAGGCTCACACCCAGCTCTTCAGACCTACCTACCTGTTTATAACTGAGTTAGGCTGGTAGGCAGATTTCCCCCCCCCGCCCCCCCCCCCAAAAAGGGACATTTCAGAATTGATGTTTTAGAAATTGCAGAAAAAACCTCTTATTCTTAAGGATCTTTTAACTTGTTCTCTATTTAAGAAGTGTCGTAAACACATTTTTCCCCCTTGAAATAGTATAAAACCCATGTGAAAGATACCAAATCACTTGTCTTAAGTGACAGTGAATGTGCCAAGCAGCTCTCAGAAGTCCAAGAGAAAGTCAGTTGAAAACTGCATTTTGAGCTAAAGAAATCTAACTGCGTCCCTTTCAGATAAAGCTTTTTAAAAAAATAATTACCAAAAAAAAAGTCTATTTTAGCAAAGACAATGGACATACTGCCCACTGGCAGCACACAGCATAGCCTCCCCTGTTAAAGGATCAGATTCAGGCACTGCAGAAAGGTTTGAGGCTCTTTTCTTTCCAGCCTACTGCTAAATTCTTTTCCCTCCACACTCTAGTCCCCAAAACACATTTACACCAACATATATTCATACATGCATGGTTTTAAACAGTCACCTATGAAGACAGGGGAATTTACAGTAAGATCAAAATACAGTCCCAACATATTACATTTTTCTAAGAGTCATGATGCACAGTGTGAACTTTGACAAAGAAACATTTCACTATTAAGTAAAAACTCACTGTTAATACTGGAGTGCCAATCTGCCAGCTAAACTTGGCTCTGCCTCCAACTACAGTTCACAAACACAAAGTCTTAATGATCTCAATATTTTCTGAAAATAGTATGGAAGTGTTCAAGATTGTCCATCCCCTCTCCCCGCTATGTTTTTTTTAATGTTTTTCCTACTGCAAAAAAACCCCAAAACACTATCTTCAGACAGCTACTGTATTAAAAAAAAGTGAGCTCAGATAGAAATTCCCCAGTGACAGAAGTTTGCAAAGCAAACAATAAAAGGCACATATTTAACTCCAGTACCAATAAAGTCAGTTCTTCTCAACGTTCAGAGTAGCCCTTCAGCACACCTTTTTTTATTGCAGTACATTAGGTAATGAATCTACGCACAACATACCACGAGAAGCAGAAAAGCAGGCGATTTAAGGAACGCTCTGTTTAACGTAACACCTTCCTTAACAGAGGAAGGCCAGACAGTTTTGTGTAGCTATGAGTATCTTCACTATGCTGTAAACACCGCCTCCTGCAAAAACTTGGAGGAATACAAAGACCTTTAGAGAACACAATGGTTAAAACTAGATGAACGTGCCACGTGCCTCCCACTGAGCGTGGTCAGTACCAGCTACCAGGTGTTGGGCTGAAGTTCCACCAAGTTTGATACCGTGTTCTTTCCAAACCCACCTATAACAGTCATAGACTTAGAAGGCTACGCACACCCTGTTTGTCCACTGCAAAATGCTGTCATATAAGCATGCAGCTTACACTTAAAAAAAACAAAGTTTACAGCTACTGCCAGACTTGATTACTTTATAATCTACCACTTTTAAGCGTAACAGGCCAAAGAACAGTGCCACATATACGTCGGAAAAAGCTGTAATAGCACAATCTCAAAGCCACACTTAGAGGTAAAGCAGCAGAGAATGAAAACTTTGGGGAAGAAGCCTGTCTTCAGCAAACAGCACAGACATTAACTATTCTTATCCTTTCACTGAATCTTTACAATAACCTCAGTCACATTCTCAGAAAAACAATGCCTTAAGACGCCATCCTCTTTGCTTCTGTAAAACAAACTTGATGCTGCCAACCTGGACATAAGAAGCTAGGAAGCCATCCTGACGTGAACTACTGGGTTTGTGCAATACTTTTGACCAACACAAGAAAATATTAAAATACTTTTAAAAGAAACTGACCCAGCTGTAATTTGCTCCTAGCACCAATGATTCTGAATATACACACCTGTGCTCCCGGTACAGGGCCAAAGGGGTTTGGTGGTCTCATGACTGGCTGACTGTATATTAAAGTTGGCTGTGTCATTACTGGTATGCCTCCCATCTGCGATGGCTAAAATAAATCCAGACAACAACAAATCACACATTAACACAGTGCAAGTATTCAAGGAGAGAAAGGAAAATGGTAAATTTTGGTTATATTTGATATACAAAATTCATATAAGATCCTTCTACAATATTCTGCAAATAAGGATTATTAGAAAGGAACATTAGAGCCTTTTCAAGGAATACTCTCAATAACAATCGAGCCCATTTCATCTCTTGTTGCAAAGATCTGAAACACTAAAATACTTGGTTAAGCACAAGCATTTGTGCTGGTCCTCTTGCTCCCAAAACTGAGGTCTGACAGCACTTCCCTGGGTGCCTTTGAAAGCACAAGAACAGTTTTACAGAAACCAACGCAGAGCTGACAGAGTTCAAGAAAAATTGAAAACAGAACTATACGTAAAATAAACTTAAGTCATTATGCAACCAAAGTCTGAAGTTTTACTGACACTGGCTGAGCCAAATTAAGAGTTTAACATATGCTAATGGTCTTAGAATGCAGGCTTTATTTTTATGTAGACACCCATCTCTGGCACTGCTTTTGGCATTCCCCTCAGGCTTGGGTTGACACCCAGCAGCAGTCCTACTGAAGCAATCCCCATTCCAAGCAGCTTTTCCTTGACTAATCCTGGTACTCCTCCTACCACGCCAGCCAGCTGTTTGGGCAATGATATGGTGAACCCATCCAAGAAACTGACCTTGATGAAAACACTCTACAAAAAAGTTAAAAATAACTGCCTGTCCCGGTATGCCCTCACCAAGGGAAAAGCCTACTACGAGACTGCCACTTAGAAACGGCCATGCTCAGAACTGTGGTACCTACTACCGCTTTTAGGAAAAATTAAACACAAGGGTTGTAAAATGGGTCAACATTTCAGACATCCCTAGCAGTAAATGTCCCGAATAAAGTTTGACTGAGCCAGGACAGTTTTCAGGACGCGTTATAAAGCCTACTGGTCATTCTGTAATGTCCCATCCCACTCATCTGCTCAGACGTTGCACACTTTTGAAAGTGACAGCAACTCAGGATAACAGAGCTTTGGCTCCTATTCATTTCAGTTTCCATTTCACATTGCCATTTAAACCCCACAATGAGAAGTGCTTTACAAAACATGCAAGATCACTTTCTATACGCTAAATACATTACCTTCCCCAGCTGCTGAATCAAAATAACTAAGAAAATGCTTCCAGTACCATTGGTGCAAAGTTGTGTAGATCAAGTTTGAATCAACACTAAAGGTAGTTTAACCACGATGACTTTGCACAGAACATACTGCAGAAGTTCATGGATGGGTAATGGGGAACATGATACTCTCCCAAAAGACCCTCAAGAACACAGCTGGCCACTTCTACAGTTCACTTACTGAGCATATACAAGTTACAAACCATTAATCGGATTATATGATGAAACATTTAGCTTATTTTTACTATACTAATCTGTGAGCCATTTAACAGAACAGTTGTTCTCAGGAAGTTCTCCCCCCTTTTATTCAGCTGGCAAAGCTGTGCTACATCAAAACCATGCTAATAAAGAAGAGTTAAGGCATATAATTTCAGAAATATTTTAAAATTTGAGATAAGAACACAAATTTCAACAACTTCTCAGAGCAAGTCAAGTTTATGTCAAAAACCTTCGGGTATTGGTGTGTCACTACGATTCAATTCTCAACTGGCACCACAGCACATGGCAGTGTCACAAATTTGCAGTTTTGTAGCATCAATAATTACAGATACCTTTTGCTGAGGTTAGGAGCAAGTACTTAAGGAAGGTTTCCCTTCACCGATAAAACATTCCTGTTGTGAATGTAGCTATATGCACATGATACACTTATTCGGACACCAATAAAGCCCACCAAGAACAGACACTGTCTTAATTTTTAAAAGTTTATGAAAAACTAAGTGAGGTAAGAAAGGGCAGACTTAATTTCAGACAAAAAGCCACTGAAGTAGTTCAGAAAACCAGGACTTAATGATCTGGTGAAGAAAAAACCGACCGGAGCTGAAATTCAGTCTTCAGTAAAATAGTTCAGAAAACCAACTGCTACCAAACTATAAGCAACCAAATGATACACAGCATCTGACTTCCTTGAATTGCAGGAGTTCCACTTACCATCCCATAGCCCATCATTCCTGTCGGCGTCGTGGCAGGATACGCCATTACAGGTGGTGCCTGGCGTGAAAAACAGTGGTGAACTGAGAGGAGAAGAGATCAGCTGCATACAGGTAAGACATTGCTTTTTAAGGGTCAACTGCAGCACTTCGCTTATTATGAATATAGCAAAGAATAAACAGGATTTGCAGTCTTGTGTTAAGAGTGTATCCAAATTATTTCAGACAGAATACAATACTTAAGCTAAAGTTTCCAGGCGATCTTGGCATGAACATCCAACTTGCATTCCCTCTCTCACCCACTTAGTACAGTGAATTTGAACAGGTTAAAAGTCCTCTTAGTACCTTGCAGGTATGTTTACATTACCCTTAAACTAAATTAAACTAAGATAACTTTTGTGAAGTTACAGTAATGTCAACAGACAAAACCTGGGCAAAGCTATGTCTTGCAAATAATGTGGCAACATATAGGTAAAAAAACAGCTGATAACTCTTAGAAAAAATATGTTTGTGCTGGTTTTGGCTGGGGTAGAGTTAATTTTCTTCACCATAGCTAGTATGGGGCGATGTTTTGGATTTGTGCTGGAAACAGTGTTGATAATACAAGTATGTTTTAGCTATTGCTGAGCAGTGCTTACACAGAGTCAAGGCCTTTTCTGGTCCTCACCCCACCCCACCAGCGAGCAGGCTGGGGGTGCACAAGAGGCTGGGAGGGGACACAGTTGGGACAGCTGACCCCAACTGACCAAAGGGATATCCCATACCATATGGCGTCATGCTCAGCATATAAAGCTGGGGGAAGAAGGAGGAAGGAGGGGACATTTGGAGCGATGGCGTTTGTCTTCCCAAGTCACCTTTACACGTGATGGAGCCCTGCTTTCCTGGAGATGGCCGAACACCTGCCTGCCCATGGGAAGGACTGAATGAATTCCTTGTTTTGCTTTGCTTGTGTGCATGGCTTTTGCTCTACCTATTAAACTGTCTTTATGTCAACCCATGAGTTTTCTCACTTTTACTCTTCCGACTCTCTCCCCCATCGCACCAGCGGGAAGCGAGCAAGCAGCTGTGTGGTGCTTAGCTGCTGGCTGGGGTTAAACCACAACAATATTCAAGACAGTTCTCCATATCCTAACCATATTCTTTGTTCTACAGTTTCATTAACTACTTTCTAAATTAGTATTAACTCTTACAAGGCCCCCCCCCCCCCCTTTTTTTTCCCAGACTATAAATTGGTGCTTATAAATATTCGGATAACTTGCTGTCTATCCACTCCACCTCCTGTTAGCCTCTCCTTGAAGAAAAAGCAGTCTAGTTTCCATGCTGTTGCTGTGGGTATTACTATTCGTGACAAGACAAAGACCATATGCATTTCTTGGTAGACAGGGAGCATTGATACAGAAAAGAGGGAAGTGACAAAATATTAATAAAACTGGATTAATTAAAGCACATAAATTGTAACATCACAAAGAGGACATCAGCAAACCTGCTTCTGAATTCAGTTCTAAGGTATCAGCTGCCTTTTCATAGATAGTAGCCAGTGTCACTGGCAGTTCAACTGCCATCAGAACAGATTTCCCCAATCAAGAATTATCTAGGCTGTGTACTGTACATATTTCACACAGCTGGCAAAGCTATCCTGAAAGCTACTTTTTTTGTTTTGCTTGTGTATCCACACCTACACACAAACATGCTGATTAGATTTATTTTTGAGTGCTCAAGTATGGACCTACCATCCTTTAGTTACAGAGTTACCCTGCAATAAAAACAGAATACAGGGAAAGACCAATATTGCTGTTGACATAAAGAAAAAATCCTTTGAAATGAGAAACTGCATTCCTCAGACAGCAAGCACAAGTTATTGCTTGCCCTTTATAAACTGTCAGCACAGATTTTCTTTTTTTGTATGAGCATTAATGACATATTGGTCTCTCCCCACTAAAAAAAAAAATTACCAAAAAAAATCAAGATCTACCATAAACGTGGATAAAGTGCCAAGTATAACAGAAGCCCATGAGGTTTCATGCAATTATTCAAACACAAACATTTTTATCTTCATTCAAAATTCACCAAGTGCATTGAAGGCAGCACAGACACACACCCCAGCTCTCTGGCAGCAAATGGTACAGTTTAAAGCAAGGAAAAATAATCTTGGTATTTCCCATGCCATCATTCGAGTCAAGAGCCTGCAGACCACCTATGAAGATTGTGTATGCTAGGAAAAGCTCAATTTTTGGCACACCAAAGATTTTAAAATGAGAAATGTGTAAATAGCAAGAAGGTTATGAGATTCTGCAACAGCAGTGGTTAATATCAGCATGCCAGTCGATTGCAAAAAGGCTGTGGGTTGTTTCACTTACGTATTGTGGAAAATGCATGCCATTCTGTATTTCCCAGGGAGAACAATTACATAATGCAATAACACTGGATTAGAAGCAAATACTTACACAACGGAATATACACAGATAGCATTTTAGTTCACAAATACATTACATGTTTACCCCCAACACATTCTTGTAATTCAAGTCATTTACTGAGACAACATACACCTGTGATACTGTCATTGGTATTAGGTTTGTAATTGGTTTGCATAGTCCATTTATTTGGTATATGCCTTTTTGCCAAAGATGAGAAAGCCTTGTTTTCAAAAGCATATTTATTTAGCAAGCAGCAACAAATCCACAATAAATAGACCAGCAGAGGAAAACAAACTTCCCCCCCCTCATTATTTCTGTTTCAAGATTTTTACGTTAACAGAACAGTTTCACAGGAAGAGAAGTGTCTCAACAGTATCCTAAGTAATAAAAGCTGTTAAATGTAATGACTTATCACAAGAAGATGTACATAAGGACGTGAGTTATTAAACAAATTCAAGCACACAAATAAACTCAAACCACCAGTCATTAAAGCAGGTGAGTAGCTACCGTTTCTTCAATATCTACACACCCTCCAATAAGGTCCACAAACATTTCTCCCTAGGTAAGTGTAGTGAGTTGATAAGGGACACCCCGTAGGGAAGAGGCAGTGGATCCAGGGAGACAAGCTCTCTTTCCAAATCCACAACATTGTACTATTTACACTGCAGATTCAACCTCTCCCAGTCAGTTACAGAGTCAGATGCAATAAATCCTTGGGTGCGGTTTGTTACCTGTTCTGTCCATGTACAGTTCTCCAGGTGAAAGAGTGAGTAGGATTCACATGCAAAAATGTTCTGTTAGCATTGTGAAAACTACTCATATAAACTCTTAACCTTTTTTTTTTTTTTGACATGTAATTAAGAACCTTTGCTCTACACACTACCCAAAAATCCTTGCCAATACTACCTGCTACACTATGAAGTTGATCACCAAAATGGACACGCATTAAAAACAATTGCGCACATCAGGGCAGGAAAGCAGTAGTTACATACATTAAGAAAGCTACAGCCCACATCACTGCACAGACACCTCTACAAGTATCAAGAGGGTTAACCTCTCAGCTCATTCTCACCCCCAGAGCAGCCTGAGTTGTAACATATACATGCCTGACATATCAGTGCACCTGAAGAACATACTTTTCACACTTCTACTTGTCTAGACTGCAAAGTGGCCCCCCACCACCACTGGAATTCACAGGTTTATGTCAGCCGAGTGAAACACAAAGGCTGCTGTCTTGCCATGAGGGAGGCTGGTCAAACACTGCTGAAGTTTATGCTAAATAGTTTGTGATGTGACATTTGCAGGTTTACTAGAACCGCACAGTGAAGATAAATCCAAGCAGTACGCATCTCAAACTGACCAATTCTTCAATTTTCTATTACCCTTTTACCACAACTATAGATCACACTCAAATTTCTCTGTTATACATCAGCCTGCATATCTAAGTTGCAGGGAACTCACTACTTTAAAATGAGTATTTGCTTACCAACGTTGGAGCGTTCCACGCAGTTGTAGGTGCAATCTTGGGTTGCCAGTTGGAACCACCTGTTAGTTTCTTTTCACCTGGCTGAGTCCAGTTTACATCACTTCAAATAAATTTTTTTTAAAGAATTGTTAGAAAACATTGGATTCTCTTACAAAACTCCCTCAGGTAAACACTATTTCCTCTTAGAACTGTGGCTTCTATTAGGGAAGAAGCTCATTTAGCAAAGAAGTTGATAAAGGTTTCATGACAGCTTGTTTTGGCTAGGAAAAGTAATGCAAGATGTTCAACATGAGCCACCTCAGCTTTATCTAATCTCAGTCAAGTTCCCCAGTATAGGTAAGTTAGTCTAGCTGACTTTTGTTGGGTCAAGATAGTTTAGTTAAAAGCAACGGCGTACTAGATTTCTAAATTATTTCAGAGTTGGCACAGATGGTCCTGATAAGCCTGAAATTTGCTAATCACATTCTCAACTTTGCTGCTAGAGCAGATGTTCACTATTCTAGAATACATGCTGCTTCAAAATTCACTTGTCTAAAGGTCAGCCACAAGTCAGAGGTTGTAGTTTCACAATCTTTAATACACCCTCAGATCACACGAAGTATTTATAAGGCGTGCTAAGATTACCAGTGACTACAGAGAAACATTTTGGTGAACTCATTTCCTAAATATATACAAAGCCTGAAAGGAATCAGAGACAGGAGAACATCTTGCCTGCTGTTATCACTGTCACCGCCACTCAGTTTACATACACCTTCCAACAGCTCTCAACAATTCATTATACCTTGTATGAGAAGCAAAGTACAACCCCAAACGTGCTCTGAAGGTTAACATTATGTTGTTACGCACAGGTTTGAACCTGTACTTTCATAAAAATTTACTATCAAGAAAATCAAAATGCTCAACTTTTGATTAAACATACTCACTTTTTAGTAGTTCCGTTTCCAATGCCCAAATCTGTCACAAAGTAGAAAAAGATACTACTGAAATTCTGTTCATTTAAAAGAATTAAATAAGTAGTTATATGTTATTGGTTCAATACTTACTGCCTACAAGATTGGCTAAAGACGAATCCAGATCATCTGACACTAATTTGTTAGGTGGTACTTTGGCAACTGGAAGACTCTGGTTTTGAGAGGCCACTGTTGGTTTTAGGAGACCACCTAGTTCATCAAAGCCTTGGAACGATAAACACAAAATAAGCGAATTGAATCACAGGCTTCCCATAAATGTTGTGACATTCAATTAAAATAGACAGCAAGTTCAACACAATGGCTAAAATACAAAATTTAACCTACTGATGCTACACTATACAAGAAGGGTAAAACTTATTATGCCTCTTGACAACGGAGACGTTTACTACAGAAAGGAGATTTCACTTTACTAGTTTAACTAACATGACATCAATTTTACATGGAAAGGTTTCATGACTGCAAAGCAATCAAAATGTAAAACAAAATAAAGAATAAATATCTGAAGTATTTCAATCTTATAAAAAGGCATAAGTATTTGCTTTCAGCAGACCACTGGTTTGCCCAGAAAGAGTCCAATGTCAAGAGACCAGAAAGTATTTACTTTCCAGATGCTCAAAAGAATAGAACGAGCACTAACTCCGACTCCAGTCCAAATTAACTGTGCATGTTTTGATAATTTATCATTTCCTGAAATAATCTTAACATCAAAAGAGTAACATGCAGGTAAAGAAGTGCCAAAAATATGTTGCACAGATATATAAAGATGCAACTTTACCTCTTTCAACCACAGTCTACAAACACAGGCTTAATTTCAGTTGACAGCATGTAAAAATGAAGGCTGTTCACTGTGTGAAGTTTTAATGCACAAAATATTTAAGCGAAGGAAATCAATGTAAACATTTCAGAAGGGTGCACATAGAAATGTGCGTAAGAAAAAAATATTTGATTAATAAAGAAAAACTGGATGAAGAATGCTGCTATTGACCTTTTAAAGTCAGCTTTCTTCAGCTGGAACACTATCACAGCAGTATGAGTAAATACAGATCAAGAGATTTATACTTCAAGAATAAAAAAAAAGTTAAAGGACATACGTCATCTATTTTAGTAAGTGTCTTACCACCAGAATCTAGGACAACATTAGAAGATTTGTTTCCAAACACAGACTCAAAGTCAACATTAAGGCCAGCTGATGGCTGTGGTTGAGCAACAGGAGATGGAGTGAACCCTGTGGGGAAAAAGAAAGAAGTTGAACGTTTTTATACAGCATTTCCCATGAATCCACCTTCTTTATGCAAGACAAGCCGAATAAATATGTAGATATTTAAGTACCACAAAGACTAGGAATACCTCAAAGGTCCAGATTACACCCTGACACCGAGAAGCATGTAAGAGAAAGAGCTGGAAGCAGTTTATTTGAAGTTTATTTGGAGTTACTCCTCCACAGAAAGATTTTGTCTCAAAAACTGGACAGATAGGCCATAAATAACACTCTTCCCCCCAGTTGCTAAATCTCTATTGCTAAATTACAATAACATTGAGGATATCATCACCATGCTTCTCCAGAAAAAGAAGCTGGCTGGGTACAGAATCTTTTTCAGGATTACCTCTCTGAAAATTATTCCCTCCATGTTTTATATTAGTTGAGCAGTTCTAGATACAACTGGAGCAAGATCCAAACCATCCCAAGGTGCCTGATTACTAATGCCTTCAATTAGACATTTCTTAATATTTTTTATAGTGCTTACTTAGTTGGTTTTGGACACACATTTTGCAGGCCACCATGTTTTGCAGGTAAGTTTCTAGTAATTATGGCAAGATACAGGGAGTTAAAGCCAAGTTTCAACTCCTATTCTGTCTGAACTTACTCCATTTGTCTCCTATGTATCTATAAAGCAGTGCTCTCCAAATACACAACTTTTTTCAATACTGTGAAGATTTATTGCAGTACAATGCATTGCGTATGATGTTCAGCAGTAATAAGTTGATAGATCAGTAATATGGAAGTGAATACTGATTTGTTTCTAAAAATTGTAGTTTTTAACATTATACACTATCACGCACACAAGCATGCATGTACATCATCTTGATATTCAGGCAATTACAGAAGTAATTATTACTTTATATGAAAAGCACCAAAAAAAATGCAATGCCATCTTGAAAACTAGCTCTTCTGGTTTCTAACAGAATTTTTGATTATACAGAGAAATAAAAAGAAAAAGATCACAAATACTTCAGCAGTAAAACATTGCAGTGAGCGGAAATAACTGACAAAGAATACTTCTTAGATTTCGTTTAGCTTGCTGTGACAGCACCTCATTTCAATCTTACTGTTTTCCTGAAATGAGTCACATTTCACCTAAAAAATTAATAACTATAGGATGCCATCCTTGAACATAAAATTCACAGAAAAACCAAATTTGGATTACCTGTTCCTTCCTATTTGTCTTAAAGGAACATACAACTCATAACTCAAAAGCATCCATCACTAAGAATTTAAACAACATACTTTTCATTAAAAACAAATCAAAGAAACCAGCATAGAGGAGCAAAACATGGGAAACAGTAATGTGGGAAAAAAGATAGGAAGTAAATAATCAATACAACAAAATGAGTATCTTTATGACACGTATACCGTCAAGTTGTAACAAGCCATTTCAGAGATTCTGAGCTGCAGGTAGGAATTCCTTTGATGGGATGTCCTGCAACTCTTAAAACCGTGCCTGTACCAATAGAAAACTTGACTTACAATAGCTCATATTTTTCTTTAGAAAATGGCCTTAACTGAAACAAGCCAAGTTTCCTGCTCTTACATTTTAGGAAGTTTCAAGCTTTATGAAGCTAATGAGATGAGATGAGCCAGAAGACAAAACAATACATAGGACTCCTTTGAACCAGCCTCTGAAAAAGATCAAATCCTACTCCTGGTATCAACCACCAGCCCAGGGCATTTTGTCTTACACAGATGTTTTGAAAGGTACAAAGGTCAGTACTTTTAATGGAGTTCCTTGGAGGGAATAAACCAACAAGACTTGAAGGAAACTTATCATCCTGCTTTTTGGATATGGACAAAGGGAACAGAGTCATACATAGTATTTAACGTTTCATTAAATGACTCTAGCTAATTTCTATTCAAAGACACTAAACCAAAATGTGGCTTTATAGTGCTTTTAAGAACTAACTCTTCCACAAACCATTTACTGAAGGTACTCCTAAACCTTGCATAGCAACACTGTTAACATCCCCTGTTCAATCTGGTTTAGACAGACCGTCATCTGCCACAGTCCACAGCCCGTCTAGCAACTGGCAGGGTGGTATTCCAGAACCAGCATCAGAACTGGGTTAGTATACAGAAATTACTCAGCTGCACACATGATCAGCCAGTAATTTAATGCAGAAGATACCTCTTCCTCTCATGTTCTGTTGCAAAGTTTTGCACCAGTTTAGTGCACTGTTTAAGAGTAATGTATCAACAAAAATGCCATAAGCAGCAAGAACATCCCAATCCCTTTATCTTAAAAGCAATGAGGCAGAGCAAGATGAGAAGATACTTAAAACATGCAAGCCTTTTGCGTGGTATGTAGCAACGTGTAAGCTACAAGAGATCCTGAAATGGGGAGATACTCATTTCATGTTTAGGCTAAATATGCCTTAGTTCAGCACAAACTGGAAAAATATATACCATTTGTGACAACACACCTAGCACAAGCACATGAATAGAAGTTGGAGCCACCATAATAATGCACTTCTGTAGCCAACAAATACCTACTAGTTCTAGGCACACAACACATTCAAATTTCTGTGTTTGCGGTAAGGCTGTATCCCATTACCTACCTCCAAATAGACCAGCTACAGAAGAAGGCTCATTGCGGAAATGAGAAGCATTAGGGTAAGCTTGAGGACCACAAAAAGAATCTGATAAGGCGTATCACACAAGAGAGAGAGCCAGGAAAGGAGAAGAGGGAGAGTTACAGAAAGAGAACCAAGATATATTGTTTATCTGCTACTCAAAAACTTAATTTCAGGTCAGTCTACAAATCCACATATACTCTAATAACATAGAACCAATGGAATGAAATCAATACACATCAGACATACAGTAAGAAACAAGTTTACATTATCTATAACACAAAAGGGGAAAGCACAGTTTCAAGGTTACAGCTATATTAGGATAAATACTTTTATTTTTTTTTTTTCCCAAGCAAATGCCATGTTTTACACCCTTGGAAGAAATCAGTGTAAAAGATTCAAGGCATTTTTCTTATACCTGAAGTATAAGGATACAGCCCAATAGTGGATTCATATTTGGTTGCCACAAAAGGATTTAGCTCAGTGAATGGATTGTAATGATCTAAAGAACCAGAAAGAGTTATTTTAAATCCACATTCATATTATCATTGCACCTTGTTTGTGCTACAGCTAAAACTGCATTTACATTTCACGTATCAATCTGTCAGGAGGTCACACTTTGGTTCTAGATACATCTTTAGAGAATGAGACATTGCAAGGGAATGCAATGTACCAATGCCATCCATCTCCAGCGACTTCAGGGCTGTCGTGTGATGAATACCACACAAACCAGCCTGCGTCACAAAAACCCACCAGGTTCCTTGTTCACAGCCCTGCACTGCCACAACTTTTTGTGTGACTGCAGAATGAATTATACAGAGGAAACCGAGCTGATGGAATAACCCTACTAAAAAAAGCTGTATTTTAAATGATCATTCTACATTCACATGAACCATACAAATTTTATTGGAAGTGTGGGAAAGACCGATTAGAAGCATAGGCCAGATTATTACACAGTAGTACCAGCTTAAAGTATTTGTATACTACTGCCTCAGCCAACTAATCCTCCCTGGGAATTGTAGAGAGAAGCTCACAGCAAGAGTTCTTGTGCTTGATCTTGCTGCTGTCTTTTTCCACTAACCAAAGACAAGCTAGGAAACTAGTTAGGTAAGGCGACAAAGTGTAGGTGGTATGAATATCTCTAAAGAGATCCCTTTGTTTTATCTCTCTTAACAAGTATCAGAGATGCCAAAGATCTCCGTTATAAGAGTCTGGATTCTTCTGTGATCAATTCTAGTGGCATTCAACCTGCAAAAGAAAGCCCATGGTGCAGCACAATTGCCTTTAAATCTACCTTTGCTTAAGAACAGGACTGACATGTAATTAATTGATTTTTAGTCTATGAAAGCTAATTAATTCTTCATATTGAAAAGTAATCAAATTACTATGCAGCTGTACCAACAGAAATGTTAGAAGGATTTCTAATGACAGCCATGCTGAATCATCTCCAAAGTTAGATTTCAGCAGTTTTAAAAAGGTGAGCCATTAGTTTATTGCCTAGTAGGTTATCAGTTTGAGTAGACCATGTACCAGAATGTGCATGACTTTATCAGTTTTGTTAATGCTAACACTTTTGGGGGAAAAAACATTCCCTACCAAAAAAGTTAGATTAAGCTCCTATGTTTAAAAACAACATTTTAACCTGAGGAACAAAGAAGTTGCATCTTCTTTTCATTCTCAGGCGTACATAGTATTTTACCTTAAAATTCCTAAGCATAAGAGACTGTGTAAAACTGCACTCAAACAACTGCTTTAACTAAGTTCTTTTACATCAGGTAGGATACCATCTAGGTAGCCAAGCAAGGATTTTAACACCATTTTCATGGCACAATTACTAAATCAAGTTCTAACATAGCACAAAATCAGCCCCAAATGACCAGCTTTTAGTTTCTGAAAGGCCCCACAAATATACTTTAGAAACTAAAATAATGTTTAAATTTTTAGGAAATAGGAAATTAGTTTAAAATGGTACTTTACCAACAAACATTTCATGTGTGGGTGTCCTACTGGTGAAAGTAGATACATCAGAAGACACAGACAGATGAGCAGCATCGTTAGTTTTTGTAAGAAAAGGATTTAGGTTTGGAATGGCATCATCAACACTATCAACAGTAGCAGAAAAAGGATCTGTTCAATTCCAGAGAGCAAAAGAAAGAAGAAAAGGGAGATGGATTTAGTTACATGCTGCTTCCTAGGTATAGAAGAGTAAGAGTTTTAAGAAGAGTCCAGGAAGTATAGTTTTCTCCTGACATCTCTAAACTTGGGATGACCTAGCTAATTGTTTTATTTTAAAATTGTCCAGAATTATCCATTCTCTGCTCAGGAAGAATACTACAAATATTAGCTACACATTTACTTTTTTTTTTTTTTTTTTAAATTAATACCGTCTTGGTCTTATAAAGTGTGCTTCTTCCACACTGTGTTTTATACTGAAAGTTAGTATGTTATTCCTCTTTAAACGCAATACTTTTTGCTTCACTCAGTCACGTCCTGACACTCGCAACAAATTCTCTGGAGCAAAGATTGCCTCTTAGCATAACAGAACCCCAGGTGCTAAGTGAGGATTCGATGCAATACCATCCTGAGGATAGCTTTAGAAACCTGAACAAACCAACCCAACAGAGCTGTACTTTTCCTTCTTCTTCAAACTGCGTTTATGGATTTTTTTTGTTACTGGGCATCATGAAATTTTCAAGAGCTATGAATACACCAAGGCAGCAGACAAGACAAAAACAAGTACTTTCCTTACTACCTGGGGCATAAGGAGCAACAAGCTTGCTGTGGATATGCCATTAGCTGCAAGCAAGCAAAAACCTGCTCTGCTTTGAGGGACAACACTGAGCAGTGATGAGGAAAATATTCCTTATTAAAAAACCTCTCAGACCGTACTGGGGAATGAAAGAAACATGGACCTATATGAGTCACTTCCCAAGGCACATAGGAGAGTTTCAAGGTTTCCTGAGGATCGATGCAATTACCAAGCTAAAATACTCCTGTACTCCAGGATCCAACAGATAAGCAGGAGAGGAAAGGCAGCTACAATACTCGTTGACAGAAGGAGCTGTGGTTTACCTGTCTGGCTTCAAAGCACAAATCCTTGATGGAAAACTCAAGAACTCACTAGTGAGATCAGCAAGAGTTTCATCTAGCCCTAGTTGTTTTATCACAGTGCCTAGAACTACAACTTACTCTTCTAGGCAAAACCACTATAGAGAAATGTCTGAATAATAATTCTAGGTGAGATTTCTTAACACTTCAGTTTCTGGATTTTTTTTTTTTTAAAGCTGGTTAGATTACCGATTTATCCACAGCTCCTGTAAATACTTCTATGATGTATGCAGCAGCTTCAAAGTGCAAGTTATTTTCTCTCCCTGAATCTGACCTCCTGATTCTTAGCTATAAATCCCACACAGCTTGATAACATGTAGATTTCCATCATATGCAAGTCCAAAAAAAAAAAGAAATTTTAAAACCGTAACTGCATTATTCTTTGCAGGCTTAATACAAGCTTTGATTTTCTTCAAGCTGAAGATATCTTATTTAGTTAAGACCTGACTTCTCTCCCAAATTCCTTGGCTACATTGCAAGAATGAGAAAAGTACCTTAAAAAGCCTTTTTCTAAATCATTTAGTCAGCAAAATGACAATGTCCAACACTGAATAAAGGATAAACAGAATACGCTAATATAGTATTTGTAATATATAACAGCAATACAAAACTTTGTATTATCTTATGTATGTTTAAGATAGTAAAATTACCACCTAATGCAGTTGTGGACATGCCAGTCAGCCAGTCACCTGAAACCAAGTCCTTACTTTCAGGTAGTGCTTAAAACTGTCTGCTTTAAATGCTATTCTAGAAGCTGTAGAACAAACGGATCTGGCAATAAAACAGGTCAGATTATCCTTTAATCAGCTCCTGCTTGCTTCTTCTGTTGCCACTTCACATTCTTCTCATTCTATCTGTTCTCCTTGTAATTGGAAAAAGTCCAAACAGATAGATCAAACTGATTATTTCCACACTGATACACTGCTCCTGAAATTTAGGTACAAATTGATAGCTGGCAAATATACCAGACACAGGTGGAATGGTCCCTGAACAATCCCAATAAAAACAGATAAAACTCAGATGAACATATGAAAGAAGCTAAATATGGTTAAAAACATTTTGTCTTTTTTTTTTTGAAACTACTGTCCACTGGAATTATTTTACACATGCACTCAACAAGAAAATTACTACATACTACTTTCTGTTCCCAAATCCCAAGGTTGTATATGGCGTTTCATGTGTTTTGACTAGTAAGACAATGCAATACAACTTCAGATTATCAGGAGTTTTCTCAGAAATGTAACCTGTTCTCAGACTCTTCGCTTGTCTGCCTCATTCTAATTTTAGTCAGTGTGTTCAATCTTGTCCGGGTGTCAAAACTTGCCAATGCTAGTGACAAAGGTAAATGAAAATTAATTGGGTTTGGGCAATTTATATCCTTGCATACTCAGATTTTAAAAACTTCTGTCTCTCCTGACAGCAACACCTCAACGTTTCTAAAGCCCAATTTCATCCTTGAATACACATGGCATCTGTTTGTGTCAATGGAGTCACTCTGTGCCTTCAGGCTATCATTAGGCACATTACTGATTCAGGTTCATTTAAAAGAACAGTTTGAATTTTGCAAACTTCTACCTTTAAGTTATCCAACTCGAAGTATTTTACCTGAGAGAATAATGACAAAGGTTTTGCAGGGGCATCTCTTGCAGTTTGAAAAAAGTAAACTGAAAACATACAATTACAGAACCCATTCTCTGGGATTTTTTTAACCTGCTACGCTTTAGCATTTTTGGAAGTGCAAGACAAAAGGCAGCAACCCAAATATAATGCCTTTGTAATAATTTATCCTTTTATTACACACTTAAGAGCTGCTGCATAAAATTTTTAACAGTAACTGATTTTAGTCCATTGCAACTTGCAGCTGGTTTGGTACTCTTCTCGAAGTCACCATATACACCAAACACAAACATCATCATGTCAGAAAATTACCTAAGGGAGGGATGCCGTGCAGTGGTTAGAGCACAGGACTGGAAATAGTTCAGGTTCCATTCTTGGCTCTGCCACTGACTTGCCGTATGACTTCAGACAAGTCAGTTAATTGCTCAGATTTCCCCATCTGTAAAACGTGGAAAGCACTTCTTATCTACCTCACCTATGTGAAGTGAGTGTTCACGTCTGTAAAGCTGAAGAGATTTTTTTTTTTTTTTATGAAAAGTAAAACAAAAAATGGTGATCCTAGAATTCTAGCCTAAAATTTTAGCAATCTGAAATCTTCACAGTTAATTAAATCTCAGAAGTATTTAGAAATGTGTCAATAGTAAGCAGATGTATCGATGACTATTACTGAAGACTCTTACCAGGAGTAACACAACATTGAACACACACAGTCTTTCAGGCTCAATTTTAAGGTTAATAAAGAAATGCTAGATTGTGATGTGACCTTCGAAAGGAAGATAATTTCCTCTTTTATCTCTCACCCATGAAACAAATAGGACAAGCTGAGAAAGAAGATATTTTCCAGAAAGCAAACAAGATGAGCCATAACATTTTTTCTCCATTTCTGGAACTCTAAGCTTATTAAACATTGAAATTTGTATGCATAACTCGATACACTCCTCACTGCTTCTTTCTCAAAAAATGCTCTGCTCAGCAAAACTGAAGGACAAGTAAACAACTTTTATTTATTTTTGAAGCTACCACATATATTAGTATTGCCTCTGTCATTCAAAATTGCTTGTTATTTCCCTATTTCAAACAAATGTGAGGAGCTACATAAAACACAAAGTACACAGCAAAAAGTAAATAGGAAAGTAGAATATATACACTGCTTATTATGAAGATATATTAGATAACTGGAAAGATGTTTAGGAAAAGCTATAGCTCATAAGAAGAAATAGTGAAGTAAAGTTTCAGAATAGGATTATTCCGATGCCTACAAAACTTTCTGAAGCAGCAACTCTGAATTTTTCACATCATAAAAGAAAGCATTTTTGCAAGCATCTGATTTATAAAAGAAAAATAATCTGGAAATAGCCACATAGTTCAGGAGTTTACTACTTTATTAAGTGTCATTTATGTAGAAAAGTAAGAAGAAACATCTTTATCAGAGATTTTTAATCCTCCACCAGTAAAACCAACAGTGCAATACGTTACCTATAGGCAATACTTAGGCAATACGTCACCTATATCAGAAATATTCTGGAACACTGCAAAGCAGCAGAGTGAAAAATGGCTTTAAGTAAATAACTAAATGCTCTAACACTCAAATTAATCTTGAAGTAACAATCTTGACTTTCCAGAATGCTCTTGCTTGCCTCCTTGGTTTAAGGACTTGCCGTATCACTAAAATAATCTAACATTTCATTCAGTCCATCCTAGCAGCTGGGCAGAACAATAATTTGGGTGTTTTGAAGTAAATTTCAGAGGGAAAAGTTCCTTATAAATTTTGTCTCTTCACTTAAAGACAGCCAACCATGGCTTTTTGCTAATTTGCCTTTGTAGTTAAATGAAATACAGCAGAGAATTTGTAAAGAGGTGCCTTATTTCTTGTAACTAACTTTGGCTTTTCTTGCCTTCTATGCATAGTTGTCACAATTGCCTCCTTTCAGGCCTCATCCAAGTTCTGCTCTATTATCACCTGCAAATTTGATTTAACATTAGGCAAAATTTAAACTGTGTATAAAAAAAAAATCTGTATTCAAGTTCTCATGTATGCAACATGGGCTATTTGGCAGACATTTTCACAGAACTGACTTCTCACAGCTAAGTTTCTGTAGCTTGCTATGTGACTCTTGAAGACAGCAGTTATGAGGCTGACAGAGCCTCATAATTAAAGTAACTTTGCTACTAAGAACTCTCATATCAAAATTCTTTGTCATCACCACATGCTGCTACATTATTTTAATCCATACCCATATTTGACGACTTCTGCTCCCTTCATCCACTTGTAACTTGTCTTTGCAAGATGCCTGTTTTTAAGGAAAAAAGCAACCCCCAGACTGGGGGAAACATTTATAGGAACATGGACGTAGCAATTAGAACCTTAATCCGATTCAGAATTCTTACCTCCCCAGGTACTTCCTACTTGTGGAGCAGCAGATATAGGATGTACAGATGGATGAAAAGTTGGCTGCAAATCAAGGAGATCATTTGGCAGCTTTGAAGTGCTACAAAGACAAATTAATACAACTGTTTGAACTACATCACAGTTTTCAATACAAGGCAAATGCTAGCGACTGTCAACAGTAAATAAAGCCTTGTTACCCACTGGTTGTTACAAAATGGATAGAACTAAGCCAATTTCAGAAAGTCTGGTGAACTTCACATTTTCAGTTCTGTAGAAGAGTGTTAATTTAGCAAGCTAAGTTCTATGTTATGCCAAGCGACTTTTGTCAAAGCTAAGACACAAAGACAACCAGTCTTCTCATCTTCCTCACAGTCCAACACCAGGTCTAGAGCATGTTACGTTCAGCCATCTTCAGCAAATTTTAAAATAACCTCATGAAAGCCCTTAAGTATGACAAAAGCAGAATGACAGAATGAGCTCTAATGGGTTGCACCACCAAAATGTTACATCTAAATTCCACAACTCGTACCTTTCCACTAGCAACCACTGCTGAGAAACTGGCTTACACCTACGAGCTACTAAAGAACTTTGGGGAAAGCAAAATATAAGCAGCCTTGAAACATTTTGTCACACATCAGTCGTGTGACAACTCATTTAAATGCACATTTTAGACTCTTCAAGTTGAGACCTAAGAACATCACATGTATTTAAGACTTCGCTCTTCATTTCCAACTGCTGCAATAATTTCAATAGGAAACTGAAATTAGGAACAGTAAAATTCACCCTCTTGCAGAGAGTTCATTTCACACTTTAGTCCTAAAAAAAAAAAAAAAAAGAAAAAAGGAGTACTGGTGTTCACCCAGAACTTTTCAGCACATGAACTAAAATTTCCATGTATGGCTGCTGCTATGGACAGGAGCTAAGTCACTGTGGCCTCCAAGCATCTTTTGAAATGAGACTGGCACAAGAGTTTAAAGGCTAGTAGCCACATCCTGTATATTCTCTTGCTGACCCAATCACTCCTATCATTCACTTTTTACAATTTCATTTCAACAGTGACTGAAATCACATTTTGCCATTACTGCTCCTATTAAAAAGCAGCATGGTCTGGCACAGCCTGTAATGTGAGCAGCAGAACCAGGGTAATTTTCAAGGTAAAGCTTGTTCAAGTTAATGACAGGGATTAATCAGACACATTGCATCTAATAGCAAGCAACTGAACTTACGACCCAACATATCCCCCTCATGGCAGCTCCTGCTGTAAAAATCTGTTCTTTGCTCATAGCAGCCATACCGCCAGCAACAGAATTTAAACATGAAGACAAACTAGCCTTTGTTTTCCTAGAAGAAAATGCTCTTGTCTTCACTACATAGCATTTCTGGCTGTTTCAAGAAGCTTTATCAGATGTTTTTATGTTTCAGACCTCTTAAGAAGCAAGATCAGGTATTCAAAGTTACTAGTTCAAAGCATATGCCTATTTCAAATATTTTGGTCTCTAAAAAGCAATATAAAAGAAAATATTTTTTTGAAGGAAGTCTTTCAGTTACTAACACCAACAGATTCTCAAGCTTCTTATATACGATTCAGCTATTTTACACATATTTGGTGTCAAGTAATTTCCCTCAATAGCTTTCTAATGGGGAAAGAAGGCTGTCAAAGTGCTGACTGCTTTTAAAGAACAGCAAAAAGCTAAAGGAGACAAGTAGATTCCTATGCAAGCTCTGACAGAACAACTAAGCAATTATTTAGGTTTAGGCTCACACCCAAAGCAAAAATATGCCTTCAGAGAGCTATTTCCTTCTATACTGATAAAAGCACTGTACCTTCTGCTATTACTTGATTTGACAGGTATTTTACAGAGCGAAGATCACACACTTACTCAACAGTTCCTGCTAGTCAAAGATCAGGATCAGCATGCAGTGAGTACTCTTGTACTACCTTTACAAGTCCTTGCAGACAGAGATGTTCCAGATACAACTCAAGACTACAAAACCTGCCTCTCTTCTTTCAAACCCCGTTTCAGGCTTTCCTTTTTCTGAAAGCCTACCAATAACATTTGTTATCACGCTACTTTTAAAGATCTAGAAATGCAACATTAAATTCAGTATTATCTTTATGACCACCCAAATTGAATTTTTATTTGACTTTTCCCAACTTGTAAGGTTCTTTGGGGATAAAGCATGTGTGTTGTACAGTTCCAACTGTCTGGCTCTCCAACTAAGAACAGCTACAAGGGCTGTCAGCAGTTGGTTCTTTTCAGAAACTATACCGCAAATGGATAATGAAAACGTGTTATTTATGGCAATAGGTTATTTTCCCCATCAACTTTACCCAAAACATCATTTCTTATCACATCACTAATGTACTCTACACCCAATCAGCCTTCTGCAACATACACTCTGCAGCAAAAATTTAGAGGAAACCCTAGCTGCAGTGCATCTCACAGTGAAGCAACACCATTAAGCATACCTGTTTGAAGAGCTAGGCGTAGAAAAAATATCAATGGCTGGTGTAGTCATTATGCTTCCTGCAGCAGTCGACACAGGAGAAGCTGCAGTTGTTAAAGAGGCATGAGGTTTCTTTGCAAGTTCTTTTAGACGTTGCTCCTGTTGGGAAAGTGAGCTGGCATAAGAAATCCAGAAAAACAACATTTGTGTATATGACTTTGGAAGTAAAGCAGAACTAAAGAATTATTTTTATTTATTCCACATGCTAGTGTCAGCTACTTATAATTACAAGAGTCAGCGGTGCCACAAATCCTTCAGAAACTATTTTAACAAACGCTCCACAAGTTTTATGGTATGTGTACGTAAGACACTATTCCCAGCACTTTGCCAACAGTACATGTTCAGTACTAATAACTCTGCTTTTCCCTTTGCTCCTTTAAGAATCCAAATATGCTACCAACAAGGACATAGGAAAAGTGTTTCCAATTAAAAACTCTGTATGCCTACCTTTAAAGCTTTTAAGCGAGCCTGTTCTTCCTCTAACGCAGCTTGTTTTTCCCTTTCATCAACTTTTGTGAGGGACAGGCCAGTGCTTGCAAGGGAAGAGACTGCATTGGAAAGGGTGGTAGCCCTAAAGTAATTGGACAGGAGAAAAGCTGGCTGTTAATAGGGGACACGTGATAGGAACATCTAAAGAACATTTTGCTTGCATCCACCCAGTCTCCTTCTGAACTCTTTATAACATTGCTTATATCTTACACTGTAGAATACAAAGTGGTAAGTTTAAATAAGATACACCATATGAACTGCAAAATGAAAACACCTAGAAATCATGCTATCTGCTCTTATACACTGGATTTTGGATTTTCTCCCTTAAAAGTTTCTACTCCAAACAGTATCACAGAATTCATGTTTGAAGCCTTTGCTCTTTTCCTGTTTGCCTAAGATGGCATTATTTGTAGACACATGGGAATCTCTGATAATATGAGCTCCAATTCAAATTGTTGGTAACTTAAGAGGCTTAGTTAAGAAACTATCAGTACAACTAGCATACTCCAGCAGAAAAGTTTGCAATTTGTCATCATGTTTTAGAGTATGCAAAAAGATTTAAAACAAATACTTAACTTTTAAACCAAAGTAACCTTACAAAAGAAAGCAAATATTCTGAAAAGTAGCTAACAGAATGGTGCTATGCCCTAATATTGTCACTACCATAAAAAAAGAACATATAAAATATTACTGCCTTATTTTTTGAACATGCAATACAGAAATGCTATTTAATTTTGCAAGTCTTCCCCCAAATATTAAGCTTTTCAAAATTTGAACAATGAAGTTAGTTGCCTAGAGGACTTTTCTAGATTGCACTGTGTTTTAGCAAGCACTCAAAATCAGTGAATGCCTTTCATTATATACATTATGGCTTTAATCCCCAATTACTTGAAAAATCCATTCTTAATATAAGGACTTCTGGAAGCATTTCCTTGCTTTTGAGAAAAAAAAAGGATTAAAGTTGAGATATAAGAGTCTAAAGACATGAACAAATAAATGTTGTATACCTTACAGAAGTCTAATTATTAACGTAAAATGAACATTTGTGGGCAGTAAATGAAAAAAAAAACCAAAAAACCAAAAAACAAAAACCAGCTTAGTTTCTCTTCAGCAGTTCAAGATTAGATGTTAAAAGTGTAACTACCACACAAGGGATTCTACTGCGACTGCTTGCAGTTCCTTAGATTCTAGCTCTGTTGACCTGGAAGAAGCTGTCTTAAGTACTCGGCAAAAGACTTAACAATTTGCTGTTCTACCATTCCTAATACAATGTCTTCAACATAACTTACACAAACCTTAATGAATACGATTAATTTATAATGAAATCGAAAATAATGGATTTAACACTGGATTCAACAATTGTTTAAAATGAGGGCATAAGCACCTGCTTGCAGCTGTGGAATCTTTGATTTTCTTCCCTTCTAGAGAAGCCAAGTGTTGTTCCAAAGCATCAAGAAGGCTACTCGGTGCCTGCAAAAAGAGACATTTGGGAACAGGTATGAAGAATCTAAGGCGAGGCAAATCAGTAGTTAAAAGACCTCCAGAGAATGCAACTGTAGGACAACTGGTACAACAGCTCAGAATACCTATACCGCATCTTGGCATCTTTTACCTATTTAATTACTTAAAATATCAGGTGGTGTACTCTCCTCACTATATGACTCTGTCATAATGACTCACCAGCAAGTACTGAAATATGTCAAGAGATATTAAAATTAACAGCTAGGAAACAGCACGCAGACAATCGGAAGCAGTCAGTATTTCAAGAGACACTAAGAAGGAAATTGTACCTAAAGTAATTTCTATGTGCATGGTCTGCAAGCCTTCACAATGATATAAATAGGCATATAGCCAAAAGCAAGCTTGCTAAAAACCACAGCTTCATAGTATCATGTAAAAGTTTCATTATATGAACTCACAGATATTAATTGCATCTTCAAGCATGATAGAAATAAGGTTGTCTTAAAACTCAATCAGAGTATGACAGAAATGACCTGTAATATTTCACAACAGGATCAGTGTATATAAAAGCCAGGCTCTGACAGAGGTTGGTTTTAATCACAAACTCGGAAATAACTTGGTGACAAGGTAGGCAAGAAAACATAAATGAATGCCGTAATCCCCAACACTGACATGTACTGGCAAACACATAATAAGTTTATCTACCTGTGAGAGATCTGGTATGTCTCCTCTGTCAATTCCAACTTGCTGTAATAAAACAAATGAGCTTTAGAACCTGTTTGCTTTTGTTAAAGGCAGAGATGCTCAAAAAACAAACAACATTAAGATTAAGTCATGTAAAAAGCACAAACCTGTCCATACTCATTTAAATCTCCACAATCTGAACTCTATAATGGTTGGTTATAATAAATTCTTCCGTTAAATGTATACACATTTGATGTATGTGTGTTACAGAGATATTTCAACAGATACAACCTTAGAAACAAAACTGAGTAAGAATCAAGTGTTTCAGAATTTTAAGGCTAGAGAAGTTTGCCTATCACAATTTATGTGGTAAATTCCCAGACCTACTGACACAGAGCATATATTTACTAAAACAAAGCACTTTCAAAGTTTTGCAAAGCTGTTTTCTAAAATGCAGATCAAACTTAAGATGTTCTGCAGCAGGATATATATTGTCATAATAGAAACATTAATACTCTCAACTTCAGTTGATAATGTTATCAACTGAAGACAGCTGAAGGTAGTAACTGTGATAGAGATATTCTGTCAGGACAGACAGTGAGCCAAGCTTTATGGCTTGATTTTTTTATTAAGAGAGATATGAATAATGAACGAAAGTAAAACAAGAACAGGAGCACATCTCAACCAAGGAATTCCGTAATACTAGGACATCAATTCAGCGATGCTTCAGAAACAAGAATGCAACAGACTAAATACATTAAAAAAAAAAAACCACGAACAAAACATTTTGCAAAGTAACTGCTTTTTCCTCTATAAACACACCTATAGCCAAGACATCTTTAAAAAAAAAAAATCACATGTTCATCTACTTGTCTCAATTTCTTATTTGTGAAGCTGTTATTTCATCTAAAACTTATGGCAGAATTGTAGGTTCCAAAACAGAATACAGCTGGAATCATAGAAAGCAGCAGATCACCAGGAAGTTACTTTATTTGCATAAAGTAAGGCTCTTCTTCAAAGAAAGCTCACAATTATTATGTAATCAAGGAAATTTTAAAATGCGTATTTATACACCCTCCTGAAGTAAAGGATAAACCAGTAAGTATTTTGTGCTAATCACCAGGACAGAGACTGACAAGATGACCCTTGATGGAAATGCCATTAGGCTGGAAGGAATAAGTATCTGCTTTATGATAAAATAAGCACTTTATAAGCTGTTTCAAATAAAGGGCAAAGTTTGGCTGACTAAAGTTTACCTCTGCAACTTTAAGGAACTCCGAGATCCGTGTCATTCTAGTGAGGAACTTCTTATATATATCAAGGCCTTCTTTGCACTGGTTCTTTTTCATATCGAAGTATTTTTCTATAAACAGTAACAATACTTGCATTAAATAAGAAATCAAGCATTCTGCAAAGGATATGCAAAGTAAAAGCATATAAACCAAGACAAACAGAAAATGCCTACAGATCTGTTTTATCATGTTAACTGCAGAAGTCACTATTCCCAACTTGCACCATGTGACAAAAGCTCCATCAAACATGAGCTAATGATCACATGCATGCAATTACAGCTTACCTTGCAGGTACTAGATCTCACAAAAGCACAACCACCCTGAAGAGGACAATCAAGTTTAAGAATAGGTCACCCAAAGAAATGTAAATTAATCCTGGGGAAGGGGGTGGGGTGG